ATGTTTCTATAATAACTTTCTAATGAATAACTTTTCATTGGACCTCGAAGAAGGTTGAAAAAATAGTTACAAAGGAAAAATTAAAAAGAATAGGTTAGAAAAATAGCAATCGAATTTGTCTTTTTTCTACATTCTAAAAAGTTAAATCAAATTAGAAAAGGAAAACTGTTGAGAATTTATATAATTTTTATAACGCGGAAAATACTTGTAGATATGAAATAAGAAATTACTATTAGAATTAACAAATTGAGCTATGCCATTTTAAATCCACAATCTTCTAATAATGCCATTAAATTGAATTAAACAGCTCTTTAGAATTTACAAGTACATGCATACATACTGTACAAAAATCCTTTGCGACACGTTTCTCTATTTGTTCTCAAATGATTTAGAGATGGATAAATGCATTATTGTAGTATGTATCTATAGATTTATAAGTGTAGAGAATGTAAAGTAGAGGTGTATCTTATAGAAGGTTATAAATTATGTCATTGCCAATTAATTTTTAAATGATAATTCATATTGTGGATTAATAGGAGAAGTAAAAGTAAAGTCAATAAGATTATTAAATTTCGCCAAGGTTGATTTTAGGTGGCGGGTATTTTCTTGTTTTTGCAATGGGAAGGGGGCCATTTGAACAATATAAACTCTTAGGTGATACGGTTTTTTGAAGCATGATAAAGTCCAGCTCTTAGAATTCTCTTTGGATGATATTTTTCTTTTCGTGGCTGGATATCATTAGGTGATACGCTTAGAATTTTTTTTTTGTCAATACTTAGATTTCATTTGTTTCGCGAAAAATGAATGATTTCGATACATATTTTCATGAAATGATCGCTTGTATCGCTTAAAATAATTAGCTAATGAAATATGTTTTCATTATCGATAACAATTTATATTTAAATATCTTTATGGACGATGAAAATATTTTTCATTCATTCATTTTTATAAGTGATATAAGCAATCGTTTTTATGAAAATATTTTCCAAATTAGAGTGGCAATACTCGAATACGAAGGGAAAAGGAATTTGCTTTTGCCCTGCAGAGGCAAGGCCCTCAGGAGCGCCAAATTCTCCTAGTAATGGAAGGGAAAAACTGAGTGAATTGAAGCAAGGGCGTTTCCAGCATGAGTAAGGGAGGACAATGAGAGCGCCATTATTGAGCGGCAACAGTTCGAGTCTTTTTCTTTGGTAGTGGCAATTCTCTTGCTTCAGGACACGTTTGAAGTCCCCTTAAGGCGCGCAACCCGACTAAAGCAGTAGGGTTCTTGAGTTGCAAATCAATGTGGACAAGTGCAAGTGAAGGAAAAGATCGATCTGACAGAGAAGGAAAAGATGATCTTTGATGGGCTTCTCGCCACCATTCGCCATTTTGATCTCTTTATCGAGTTGCGCGTTGCCGGTGGCTGGGTCTATAATAAGATTGGTGTATTTGGTAGTGTAGTAGGGTGTTCGCTAAGTTCTTTTGCTGTACTAATCGTGTATAGACATGTTATCTTGTGCTTCTTTTGAGATATTTTTCTCCAATAACATGTTTAGTTATATCCAATTCAAGTTCTTACTTTTCCCTTCCCATAAAACGTGTGTTTTCTTTCTTTGTTTTTTTGTTTGCCTATATTTTGGCAAACAAATCAGCTCGGGTCGGTTTCGGCTTTTCTCCTTATTCCACGATCTTAGGAGTTTCTCGCCATTTCCAGAGATAGCGCAAATCCTTACTTAATTACAGCGACCATGACATTTAGGCGAGGCCATCTCTTGTCTCTGTTTCCTTGGGGTCCATTTGAACGTGTGAGAAGGGGCCGTCGTCCATCCATGGACGGAAAAAGGACTCTTTGGGACCAGTTGAACGTGAGAGAAGGGCCGTCCCATTCGCTTTGTGGGACTGAGAAAGGGGGGTCTATTGGCCGTTGGATTTCTTTCGGCCGAACATTGGCCGTTGGATCGGATGACCAGGACTAACATCGACTGTAAGGTCAACATCAGCTTGATGTTGACAGGACAAAAACTGTGCAAGTCTTCGGCCCATCTTGGGCCGTTGGATTGAGACTGATATGCAAAGGACGACCGGTATGAGACTGACCTGAGAGTCATTAGCTCTCCTTTCGACTTGTTCTTTGGTTTTTATTATTATTATTTTTTATTGTTTTCATTTCTGGGTTATTTTATTTTGGTTACATATGAGCAATGACAACTTCAAATAGTCTATCGGACAGTTGGCCAAGAAAGAAATTCTATCGGAGTTTGAAAATAATGACAAACAGAGTATCATTTTCTTCATTTAGCAATTAACGCGAAAGGACTCTTGTCATTTTCACTTCCATCTTCCGACCAATTAGCAAGAATAATGCCCCATAAAATGTTAACAATTGGAGTTCCGGTGGACGACAATGACTCAAACGTGGGATTGGCGCTGTCTCCGGAAATGGCGAGAAACTCCTAAGATCGTGGAATGCGGAGGAAAGCCGAAACCGACCCGAGCTGATCGTGAAGTAAGATGTTTTTCTAATCCACATGAAAATTACCTAAATACAAAAGAAAAAAACAAGAAGGTGTACTCTTTCAAAAAGTCTACAATAGCCTATTTTGGAGTGATGGAATTCATAATCTTGTATCTGTTTAATGTATCTGTATTCCAGATCAACACTAAATTACAAAGGCATCGAGTTTTCTTCTCACCCAATCTCAAAGCTCTGGGAAGAACGGAATAAGAATCAAATCAGACTGCGATATCTTTTTGGGGAAGGATTATCATCAACGCAATTCTACATCTGGAAAAATCTCCATTGCCGGGGACGAACATGCCCTTCTTGGACAGTTAGCTATCCATTACAAGAGTATTAGATGACTGAAATGTGAATCCTCCAAGCACAGTGTTATTTCTAGCAGGCGTGGTAATGCCACTTTGTTTTGAGTGGGGGAAAAAACGTCTACGAGCTGAAGTAATTTTAACTTGGAAACCTCGCCAAGCTGCTGGCCACATACTTTGCACTTCGGTGTGGTTTCACTGAATTCCGTTTAGGATTTTATAGTCATTTGACAATGGTATTGGATTGGAAGATGGGTATATAATAAGTGGAGCATTGTGGACTCGTGGAGAGCGCTTGTCAAAGTGCAACCTCCTTTCCTATAGATAAATGGAAGACTCTCTCCCATGCTATCCTTTTGGTAAAACCTACCACTTCAGCACCTAAGGAAGGCCCATTCTTCATGTCATCCCAATACAAAACATGTCCTAACAAACAGAAAATTTGTTAGTTTGTGTCGTCTTGTCTACTGGCAAAGAATTTTTGGAAAGAAAACCAATTGCGGAACCCAAAATTTCAGTTAGAATCTTCATGAAGTTGCATGTTCTCAATTAACAAGATTATTTCCTGGTTAATATTCATCTTGAAGTGAAGAAGATTGCGCCTTAGGTCGAGCAACAACCCTATATGCTTCTTGTGAAGAATTATTGCATCATTGGCAAAAAGTTGTTGAACCAGTTACCTAGTCCTCAGCCCCAACCATTCCTAACCTCTTTGGTATACTAGACATTCTTGCTTTTGGTAATGTTTCCAAAATCTTAGATATTGCAGAGAAGCTGTATGGAATATTACCAAAAGCTTCAAGAGGTTGGATCATTGATTGATCTTGAATTGTATGGCATTGTAAGGCACAGTGGCATAAGGCCCTTGAGCCAACCCACTGAACTCATAGAGTCTTGAATGTTTTCGACCAAAGGATTTGCGACTACTGGCTTTTGTCAAAGTAATGTTATATGAACTTGGTCTGAGATTGCTACATGGGCGTGGTCAAGTTAAAATATCCATGAATGTGATCTTGAAATCACCTTTGGTCAGTCTTGTGGTAGAGGTCCTAGTGGTTTAGGTTGCCTTCGCTGGGAGCTATTCTTTGGTTGAGTTTCCAATTGAGTTGCTTTTTTTTTTTTTGGTCGAGTGCTACTTGTGAACCATAGCGGTCCAACATAAAGGTTTTTTTTTTTTTTTTAACTAAAGTGTGACACATGGACAATGCAATGAAGCTTGAAAAATAAGCACCTGGAAGCTGTCCCTTGAAGCTTGCATTTATTCGGTTCAGCGCCGGTTTTGCTCAACAGGAGCTTACCAATTTTCTTGGAAATACTCATTCGTATCCTATTTTCATGTAACGTGGTGGCTGTCCTTGCTCTTTTTACTTTGCTTTTGTCCATAAAAACTATTGAGCCTCCTCTTTGTGACTGCTACCCATCCATCTATATGTGCATGTGCAAATATATGATTGAAATGCTGATATGTGACCCTGGAAACAGAGACTAGGCGGTTCTAGCTATTGCAAATTGTTTTTATCTATTGCACTCGATTCTTTTCTCATGAAATCCTCCACTATTTTTTCACTTTTCCGTGTTGTCATATTTAGGTCACCCAATAAAAAGGTGAGAAGAAATTGCCCTGCTGTCTAGACATTTGTTACGGAATAGGAAATAGTTATTTGTGAAATCCTCATGTTTAACTTCATCAATTTCTATGGTGGATTATTTTTATTCCTGGTCAGATGGGGTTCATGCTTCTACGTTTATAGATTCTTCATGTCCTATTCTTGTTGCTGTTTGTCTTGATCGTTTTTGCTTTTTGGTAATAATCACTCTACTTGAATTATTTCACTGGCACAGCTCACAATCAGCTTAAATGCTTATACATGAATGGATTTCTTTAATTTTCCTGATTGATATCTGCTTCCATGAAATTTGTTTGACGTGATGCTGCTGCTGCTTTAATTGAGAGATTCTTCTCTCACTGAACATGCGGGAAAAGTATCAAAAAAGTCATAAACTTTTTGTATTTGTGCCAATTTAGTCCTAAACCTTTTGAATTGGCACAAATGCAAAAGATTTAGGATTGAATTGGCACAAAAAAAGATTTAGGACTGAATTGGTATAAAAAAAAGGTTTAGGACTAAATTGGTACCAATACAAAAGGTTTAGGACTTTTTTTGACACTTTTCTCCTGAACATGCTAATATCAGCGGCGCAATGGAGATCCACTTCGTGTATACATGGATCTGGAGGCTAGCCAAAGGAGATCAGGCCGAGAAGATATATTCATCAGTTACCATGCAAAAGACGATGTCCAGTCAACCTATGCCGGATCACTTTTCCACAATGGTCGAAATTACCGCGTTTCTTCTTATAAGGACAATGTGAGTGATCATCTCGTCAATCCCTCTCGAGTCTCATCTTGATTCTCTCCCTATTAACTTATGATCCTTTAAATGTATTAAATCCTGTTTTTGTACCCCAGGAGACACTGGTTTATTGGTCTTCCTCTCGTTTCCTTGCTCAAAGGAACGAACTCGCAAAAAAGCTCCTCAAGTTGCTGCCTCACCATTCATTTGGCAAGTGCCTAAATAATGTCAGCGGTCTCGACAAGGCGCTGTCTTTCTTTCCCGAGTGTGCCAACGATACCAGTGTCGCTCCAAAATGGTGGGATCATTTGCATTACGCCATGTCTCATTATAAGTTTGTTCTTGCAATCGAGAACACTTGGACGGAAAGTTACGTGACGGAGAAGCTATTTTATGCTCTGGATTCCGGGGCGGTCCCCATCTATTTTGGTGCCCCCAGTGTCATGGACTTTGTCCCTCCGCATTCGATCATAGACAGGAACAAGTTCAGCTCCGTGGAGGAATTGGCAACTTTCGTGAAGTCCCTTGCGAATGATCCAGTGGCGTACGCCGAATACCACGCGTGGAGGAGATGTGGTGTATTAGGTAATTATGGAAGCACACGTGCGACAAGCCTCGACACCTTGCCGTGCCGATTATGTGAGTGCATTAGCAAGAAAGGCGGGGGAAACGCGAAAGCTTTATAAGAGTTGATTCTTTTTGAATACCCGTTTTGTTTCCTTATCCATCGGTGTTTTATAAGTTTAGTCCATGGCCATTAACATATATAAAGAGAGAGATGGATACGAGGAGATGGTAGATTAGACATTGATGTATGTTGAAAATATGTCTCGAGTTTAAGCCGGAAGCAGAAATCTAAATATTCCGAATTGGATATTTTGCGGATCTCCGAAACCGAGCAAATAGGAAATATTTGAAATTTACTTTCCTAATGCACGTTGGAGTCCTTGTTCTCAAATTGGAAAGTCCACATGGATTTTATGTTGAACTTTGACTCGGTCAACGTGTCAGACAAAGAAAGAAAGCAACGAAAAAAAGAAGAAGAAGTGGAAAGTTGACTTGTTGACCGAATTTCTCACTGGGATTTTGTTTCTTTGTCCAATACGTGCGGCCAATTGCATGAGAGAAAAGAAAAAGGAAATCAGATGCTACTGGAGTCGGTCACAAAAGAGGCGGTGGACATACGAGCTATATATATTGTGGGTTGCTCCGTGAGGTTAAGAAGAAGACTTGAAGCGCCGAAATAGAGTGCTTGGCAGAGAGTTTCGTGGGTCTTTCTTCGGCAAATTACATTCAAGAGTTCAAGTGTTCGTAGCGATTAAATCTTGTGTTAAGATTTGTGTACAACTCTTTTGCGAGATTGAGAGATTATTTCGTGAGAAATTGTGGGGCTAAACACTGCGTGCGTTATTGGGTGTAATTGGGGCTTGGGAAATACCAAAAGTGTTTGAGTGACTCGAGTGTGGTTGTAATCTCCGTTGTATCGCTTGATCTATAGTGGAATTCCGTGCTGCTCTCCCCGTGGACGTAGGTCACTACGACCGAACCACGTAAATCTGGTGTCCGATCTATTTTCTTATTCTGTCAATTTTATTGTTCGATCGCTTGGCTTCAGCAACAATTGGTATCAGAGCCTGGTTTGGCTGAGTTAAAGCGAATCGATGGCGACAGAAGAAGGAAAAGTGAAAATCGACAGATTTGATGGGAAGGATTTTGGTTTCTGGAAGATGCAGACTGAGGATCATCTATATCAGATGAAACTGCACTTGACCTTGTCTGGGGAGAAGCCAGAGACGATGAAGCAAGCTGATTGGGAATTGCGGGATAGACGAGCATTGGGTGTTATTCGGCTGACGTTGGCTCGTAACGTCGCGTTTAACATCGTGAATGAGAAGACCACTGCAGGTTTGATGAAAGCCCTGTCGGACATGTACGAGAAGCCCTCTGCGATCAACAAGGTCTATTTGATGCGACGTCTGTTTAATTTGAAGATGAGCGAAGGTGCGTTAGTTGCCGATCATATTAATGAATTCAATGTGATCGTTAGTCAATTGAGTTCAGTTGAGATTGACTTTGAAGATGAGGTACGTGCTTTGATTCTATTATCCTCATTGCCTGATAGTTGGAATACTACTGTTACTACTGTTAGTAATTCCTCTGGGTCGACAAGTTTGACGTTTGATAGTGTTCGAGATTTAATTCTGAGTGAGGACATCCGTAGAAGAGAATCTGGCGAACATGTATCCGCTGCTTTAGTAGGTGAAAATAGAGGAAGAACTGGTACACGTATTAAGAGAAGTCGTATGAACTCGAATAGACGAAGTCAGTCTAGAACTGGTGGTATTGTCTGTTGGAGTTGTGGCAAGAGGGGGCATTTTAGAAGGGATTGCCTTAAGCTGAGAAACGATAAGGATAAAGGAATTAGAGTTGATCTTACGGATGATGTTGTAGCTATAGCTGATGGTAATTCGGATGATGCTGATTATGTCTTGTCTGTCACTGATAATTTGTCGTTTGGCGGATGGATTATGGATTCTGGTTGTTCTTTTCACGCTACACCAAACAGGAACTGGTTTACTACTTATTAGTGCACGGATAGTAGTAAAGTGCAGTTGGGGAACAATTCTGAATGCGATGTTATTGGTGTTGGTAATGTCAGAATCAAAATGCATGATGGTATTGTGTGGACATTGACTGGAGTGAGGCATGTTCCAGAGTTGAAGAAAAATCTGATTTCCTTAAGTGCCCTGGATTCAGCTGGGTGTCGGTATTCTTCAGAATGTGGACTTCTGAAAGTTATTCGAGGTGCCTTGATGATAATGAAAGGAATCAAGCATAGTGGCCTGTATGAGCTTCAAGGTGAGACAGTGACGGAATTTGCTGAGGAGACGTCGAAAACATTGGTTCGAGAGTCTGAATTGTGGCATATGCGTTTTGGGCACATTAGCGAGAGAAGCCCGAAGGTTCTAAGTGAAGAAAATTTGCTATGTGGTTATGTGGCTAACGAACTGAATGTATGCAGGTACTGTGATTTAGATCAACGGCGGAAAGTGCAGTTTAGTACGATTGTCAGAGAAACCACGGATATTGCAGAATTGATTCACTTGGATGTTCGCAGGTTGTCGCGATTTCCTTCGAGGAAGAATGCCAGATTTATGCTAACAGTTGTTGATGACTACTCGAGGAAGACTTGGGTGTTTGTGCTAAGGCACAAGTTTGATGTTGTTGTCAGGATCATGCAGTTAAAAGTTTTGATCGAAAAGGAGACTGGTAAAACGATCAAGCAGGTGCGGACTGACAATAGTATGGAGTTTTGCTCGAAGCTGTTAAACGAATTCTGCATGAAGGAAGGCATAGTGAAACACCGCACTAGTGCCAATGAACCACAACATGTTGCAGAGTTGATGAGCAGAACATTACTAGAGACGGCCCATAAAATGCTCTCTAGTGCTTGTATGGCTAGAAGATTCCTTGCGGATGCGCTTAGTACGGCGAGCTACCTGATGAATAGATCTCCATCGACTGCGATTGAATGTCGGACTCCCGAAGAAGTGTGGTCAGGTAACGTTGCTGATTATTCTATTCTTAGAATGTTTGGTTGTCCATGTTATGTTCGAGTTAGTGGTGGTAAGCTCGATGGAAGGGCAATGAAGTGCGTGTTCCTAGGTTATGCACAAGGTGAGAGGGGCTATAAGTTGTGGTGCTCGGAATTAAATTCACCTATTATCAGCAGAGAAGTTACATTTGACGAGTCTCCAGTACTTCTGGTTAGGAGTGATTATAGCAGTGTTTATACGGATCTGGACGGTGTTCAGCTTGAGGTGGAGTTGCAACCAGAAACTTCTGAGGTAGCGGGTGCTAACGAAGTAATCGACATAGATGGTGCTTGTAGCGAGGTGGAGCCTATTGAGCCAACAGTTGCTGTAACTGCTGATATTGACAAGGTGCGTATTCGATCTCCGAACAGATATGGATGCAATGATGGTTTTGCTTTATCTGCGATTGAGGAGGTTGTGTCGGAAAATCCTTGTGGAGCGGTTAAAGGTGCATGTGGAGTTGGCATTCTAATGAGGTCCGCGGCTATGGCGAAGTTCAAGCGAGGCTTGGACTTGAAAGATGTCTGTAGCGGTTGAGCCCATTGGGGCTGTGGGAGAGTAGTAGCGGAATTCGGATTCTATCAAAGCGATTGTGACTTGGCTCAAACGTTGAGCCAAGGTGGAGATTGTTGAAAATATGTCTCGAGTTTAAGCCCGAAGCAGAAATCTAAATATTCCGAATTGGATATTTTGCGGATCTCCGAAATCGAGCAAAAAGGAAATATTTGAAATTCATTTTCCTAATGCACGTTGGAGTCCTTGTTCTCAAACTGGAAAGTCCACATGGACTTTATGTTGAACTTTGACTCGGTCAATGTGTCAGACAAAGAAAGAAAGCAACGAAAAAAAGAAGAAGAAGTGGAAAGTTGACTTGTTGACCGAATTTCTCACTGGGATTTTGTTTCTTTGTCCAATACGTGCGGACAATTGAATGAGAAAAAAGAAAAAGGAAATCAGATGCTACTGGAGTCGGTCACAAAAGAGGCGGTGGCCATACGAGCTATATATACTGTGGGTTGCTCCGTGAGGTTAAGAAGAAGACTTGAAGCGCCGAAATAGAGTGCTTGGCAGAGAGTTTCGTGGGTCTTTCTTCGGCAAATTACATTCAAGAGTTCAAGTGTTCGTAGCGATTAAATCTTGTGTTAAGATTTGTGTACAATTCTTTTGCGAGATTGAGAGATTATTTCGTGAGGAATTGTGGGGCTAAACACTGCGTGCGTTATTGGGTGTAATTGGGGCTTGAGAAACACCAAGAGTGTTTGAGTGACTCGAGTGTGGTTGTAATCTCCGTTGTATCGCTTGATCTATAGTGGAATTCCGTGCTGCTCTCCCCGTGGACGTAGGTCACTACGACCGAACCACGTAAATCTAGTGTCCGATTTATTTTCTTATTCTGTCAATTTTATTGTTAGATCGCTTGGCTTCCGCAACATTGATGTAAACATGCCGCTAACTTCACAACCAAAAAAAAAAAAACATGCCTCTAACGAAATCATTATATTAATGAATGCAAAGTCATCATGATCTTCGTGTTTGGACTTCTCTCCGATTTTGTAAAGTGAAGCCAGATTGTTGATCAATTGTTGCCGTGCTTATTCTGTCATTTTCGAGTTCAATCTATCCTTCAAGTCGAATTCCTGATCGAGAATTGGAGAGGAGAGGTGTAAGAAAAGGCTCGGAATGGATTTAGGAGTTGTACGAGCCGTATGTGATGAGAGTCACATGGACAGTAACGAGGGAGGTTCGCGTCTATGTTCTCAAAGAGTTGTACATTTATATCACTTATATCACGTATCTCAACTTTTATGGGTGGATGGTGCGAAACAACAATTGAGAGGATTTCAAATTTTACCTGGTCATGTTTTCCTCTAAACAGATATTAATAATTATTTTGAGAATATATAGTGTATTTTTAATACTCCACTTAAGTTTTTAAATTTTACCTAGAAATTAAATTGTTCAAAGAAGAACGTATTTTATATAACACTACCGAAGCTTATTGCTATTTCATTCTTGTTAACTTAGGCTTTGTTTGTTTAGGATTAAGTAAAAAGTGAAAAGTACTTTTTTATTTTTCCATCAAAATTTAAAATACTATTCGATTAAAAAAAACTATGAAACAAATTATACTCCTTACATTCCTCATGAACATATTATTTCGGGCAATTTATTCTTGCCCTCCAATGATTCGGCCAAACTTTGAGTTGTTAATAGCGCTTCCATCTTAATGCTCCATAACCTAAAGTTGTTCCTCACGTTAAATTTCTCAATTTCTACTTTTGCTCCACACATAATTGCGACAACAAAATTTTTCACAATCCAGAATATGCTATTATCAAGCTCTGATACCAATTGCTGTGAAATTAACGAATGCGGAAGTTAATCAGGATCTTGCAATTAAGTCAATGCAAAATCATCGAAAAAACAAATGAAAAACGATAAAGGACACCAAAGATTTACTCGATTTGGTTCGAGTGTCGGTACCTATATCTACAGAGAGCACCAACAACAAAAATTCGCTATAATCGGAGAACCGGAGTTGGAATCGCTCAGCACAGTCGAGTGTTTTCCACACCTAACTTAAATGTAAACCCAAAGTGTTAACAAATAAACAATTCATATTTGGATGTTGAAAACTCATAGCATAAATTATAGGGTGTTCTCGCTTTGCCCACGACCAAATAGGAGGTCTCTTTGAAACGGCCGAAAATCAAGAACCTCGTGCATTCTTGATTTTCTTTCTCCGCGGCGCGGCTCTCCAGAAGTCACTATGCTGCCATCAAATCGTCCATTTTGCCGTGCGGCTACAACTATGAAGGAACCCCTCTTTAACTCAGAGTGCAGCTACTATTCACTTCTCGTTGAAGGAGCCCATTTTCAACCTTCACTGGCCGCCACTCTTACAGAGAAACAAAATGGACAACGTGGGGCTAAGCAAAAGAGAACACTATACTTTTCCTTTTGTTTTCTTTCCTCTACACAAACCATGAGCCCGCGAGTAAATATAAAATTAGACAAATATGTGTGTGCCCCTTTCTTTGGTTCGACCAATCTGCGGCACTTTAAAGTCCAACTCTTGGTCTTGGTTAAACTTATATATTTATTCAACCGGATTGGGTTCCGTGAATGGCTCAAACAGACGCGAGCAAGAAGAGAAGAAACCAAACCGATATGGTTTCACGATTCTTTTCTTTTCTTTTTTTTAATAGTTTTTTTAATTTTTATTTTTTTAAAAAACTTTTATTTATTTATTGAATCTGTGGCCCCATTTATTTATATCCTCATGCTCTTTATTATTGAGTTACTACTATTTTTTTTTTGCATTTTTGCTATTTATTGTATTTTTTGTAATTATTTTCTTAACAAAAAATGAGGTGTCAACAATCATGTAAGATGTCATGTTCATTGCTTCGACCCAATCTGCTTGCCTGGTCCTGCATGCAAAAGTATGCACCTAGCTCGCTCAAGTAAAGTTTTGTTTTTCCGTTCTACTATACCATTTGATTGACAGGTCAAGCTAAGTTCAAACGAATTCACCAAGTGCTACTAGCTCGACAGTAGAGGAGGAAAGCCGCAATTACATTTGCGACGGGCAAAACTCATAAGTTTCAAGTCCCTGACTGACCTCGACTTGATCATGAAACTGCATGACCATTAGAGAACACAAGTTGGAGATCTGGGAAATCCGATCCAATTGCTTCTCTCGGTTGTTGGTCCCACAATCCCTGGTCATTCTCGTGAAGCTCCATAGCCTAATTTGACCTTCAACCACACAACACGACATGACACGACACGACGGACGCGTTAAGCCGCAATCAGTCACTCCATAAAAACGCGAGCGAAACCAATCATTTCAGTAAAGACTCGACCTTTTGCTCCGGGGAATGAGACTAACTTGGTTGTTTGCATGCGAAGATGGCGAGCAAGGTGACGTTGTCGCCGGGATGAACAAAGTGGGAGAGATCCCACGCCAATGTGACTTTGGACACGACCTTCTCTGCCCTGACAGCGATGACGACCTTCTCTCGCCCCGTCCCGGCGGCGTGTTGGCTTAGAGCTCCGTTGTGTCGCGATGCCGACATTTCTCTGATTGAGGATGGGAGAGGAGAGGTGGAAGAAAAGGCTCGGGATGGATTTAGGAGCCTTTGTGCGAGCCGTATGCGGTGAGAGTTGCGCGGGCAATAATGAGGGGGGCACGGACGGTAACGAGGGGTTCGCGCCTATATGAAGATGCATTGTGTTCTCCTCAAAGGGTTGTACATTTATATCATGTACATCAACTTTTATGGGTTGCTAGTGTGAAATAATTGAGAGGATTTCAATTTTTATCGGGTCCATGTTTTCTTCTAAATAGATATTAATAAATATTTTGGACCTGAGCATGCCCCTAAACTATCCCGTTTGAATTCTGGAACGTAAAATTAGGGGGTATTCCTAGGAGAGAGGGCAGAAATCCCGCACGCCTTGGCCCCCTCGTTAGGGGAAAGTTTTTGCTTCACTCACCCCAGGGAACACTCCCGTGTTTAACGTTACATAATTCGGACAAGTAGTTGTCTTACAGAGGAATACCTCCGGCCACTATATTTTTCTAGGCGTGCACCCCAAGATAGGGGCCAACTCTCATGCCTCCGCCCATTGGAGGCTCCAATGGGCCCGTGTTTTCCTCTAAACAAATATTAATAACTATTTTGAGAACATTTAGTGTATTTTTAGTACTCCAGTTAAGTTTTTAAAATTTACCTGGAAATTAAAAGGTTCAAAGAGGAACTATTTTATATAACACTACCGAAGCCTATTACTATTTCATTCTTGTTAACTTAGTCCTTGTCTGCTTAGGATTAAGTAAAAAGTGAAAAATACTTTTTTCTATATTCCCATCAAAATTTATAATATTATCCAAATTTTAGAAAAACTACGAAACACACTGTATGTGAATCTATGTGATAATATATTATTTCTGGCGAAAGTTTTAGATGTTTCAGGATAAAAACATTTAAAGTGCGTCATTCGTAAAATTTAAATTACACAAAAAGTAAAAAAAGTAAAAAGTCTATTTAGACACTTCTTCATGCGAGATCGGAAGTTGTTGAGAAATAGCAAAAACAACTTTTCTAGGGTTCCAGGACTTCTACTATATTCTCTTTTTTTTTTATTTATCAGATTCTACTATATTCTCTTGAAACGTTACTATCTTGTCAGTAGACAATACTTGCATGCATCTAGTTGTTATGAAAATAGGATAATAACACAAATTGTCTCTAAATTTGGTCCAATGTGCAATGCCGTTCATGAATTTTTAATTTATGTATTGTGATCTCTGAAGTTTGACTCAATGTGTAGTTTCGTCCCTAAATTTTAATTTGTTCAACGTGATTTCTAAACTATTGGTAAATGTTCAATGTAATCCTTAAACTATATGAAAATGTTTAAAATTTCAGGGATCATATTGAACATTGGACTAAAGTTTATGGAGCATATTGAACAAATGAAAAGTTCAAAGGCGGCAATACATATTTGATCAAAGTTCCGAAACCATTTGTGTTGTTTTTCGGTGAACAACTTGGTACGCATCCACCTGTTCATTTTTGGTCTCTTCTCTTCTTTTTTCTGAGCAAGATCCGGTTTGCCATATGTTAATCCGCCAAATCAATGGCTCTTCCCTCGCAATTCCTTTGGGTTCACAACTGACCCTTTCTAAAAGAGCAATTCACACCTATAACGTTGAAAACCTATGGTTTACAATTTCAAAGGTTTACTTTATGACCCACCAAGTGACAATTTTGATATGCTCCTTACCAAAAAAAACAGTGACAATTTTGATATGATGTGAAGTATGTTCTAGTCGGCCAATAATGGTCAATATGATCCGACTGGAAGTTGATTGGACTTGATGAAGTTTCCGTGGCGTATACGCGAAGCCCCTCTTTCCCTTTAACTTTTTGACTTTTCAAAACCCATAATTTTCGCAATACGTGTGTAAAAAGGTTTCTAATCATTGGAAACGCATATGCCTTTGATGGTCTTCATTTCTTATTTAGTTCAATCCGGAAGAAACTTTGCTTGCAGCTTGTTAGGACACAGACTCCAGTCACAATGGAAAAGCATGTGGTGATTATGTTCCTGTTTTACTATGCCCAAATCTCATTATGGACGAGTTCAGCGATGCAAACCAACCAGACGGATAGGCTCGCTTTGATCTACTTCAGAGACAGTGTGGATGAGGATCTGTTCGGAGTTCTGAGCTCGTGGAATGACTCTTCTCATCACTGCGAGTGGCAAGGTGTTGTATGCAGTGGACGGCATCCCGAAAGGGTCGTGTCCCTCGACCTGACGTCCAAAGGCTTGGGCGGTCTTCTATCGCCTCATGTCAGAAACCTCTCTTTCATGAGAAGCCTCGTTCTACAGAACAACAGCTTTCGCGGCGAAATTCCACAAAGTATTGACCATTTGTTTCGCCTTCGCCGTCTCAACCTTAGTAACAACTCCTTCCACGGACAAATGCCCACCAATCTTTCTCAGTGCTCAAACCTTGAGATTTTGAATCTCATTGATAACCAACTTGTGGGCAAAATTCCTGATGATCTCGGCTCTTTGTCAAAGCTTCGAGTTTTAGGTTTGGCTAAGAACAGTCTTGCAGGATCTATTCCTCATTCTATTGGAAATCTCTCCCAACTTTACACGCTCTCCGTCGCAGAAAATGGGTTGCAAGGAGAGATTCCCGAGACATTGTCCAAGCTTCGTGGTTTGAGGTTTGTTGCATTGGCGTATAACCAACTCACCGGTGAGATCCCTCCAGCAATCTTCAACATCTCCGGCATTTTCTACTTCAGCGCCGGTGACAATCAATTGAGAGGGAGCATTCCCCCTTATATCGGCGATACTCTTCGTCCTCTAGCTTATCTTGATTTTGCGAGCAATTTGTTTACTGGCGTCATACCTCCGTCCTTATCGAATGCCTCCGGCCTTCAGAAAATCTACTTTTACTCTAACAGTTTTCACGGACGGCTGCCGGCAAATCTTGGAAGGCTAAAAGCTCTTGAAAGAATGCTCCTTGGTTTTAACCAGTTGCGAGATGACTTCAGTTTCATTACCTCATTGACTAATTGTTCAAGGCTGGAAACTATTGAGGCGGACCGCAATTTTCTTGAAGGTCCGTTGCCGGATTCCATTGGCAATCTTTCCAACAGCGTTACAACAATTTCTATGTCGTCCAACCCAATGTTCGGAACCATTCCTCCAGGTATTGGCAATCTCTTCAACCTGTCCTTTCTTGGCTTGGCAAACAATTCGCTCAGCGGTCGTGTTCCTTCTTCTATCGGAGCACTCCATAACTTGCACGTATTGGAATTAAGCGCAAACATGTTAACGGGAGAGATCCCGTCATCGATCGGCAATTTGACGTTATTGAATCGCCTTCACCTGCTGTTCAACGACTTTTACGGGGAAATACCGCAGAGCCTTGGTAACTGCAGGCAGCTAATCAAGCTCGAGCTTTCAAACAATAATCTGAGTGGTTCAATTCCAGAGGAGGTTCTTAGTCTTTCTACCATTTCGATTATCTTCAGTTTGGCACATAACCAGTTGAGCGGATCTCTTCCGTCTCAAGTTGGGTCCTTGGCCAATCTTGTCGAACTGGATCTGTCTTACAATAAGCTGACAGGACCAATTCCTAGCTCCATCAGCAAGTGCTTGCTCTTGGAACGGCTCAGCTTGGCCGTCAATTCCTTTCATGGCGAAATTCCCCCGGCTTTAGGCACATTCGGGGCTTACGAGACTTGGATCTTTCCCATAATGACTTCTCTGGTGAAATCCCGAGCTTTCTCGTTCAACTTACGGATCTAAATTACTTGAATCTATCTTTAAACAAGCTCGAAGGAGAAGTTCCGAAGCAAGGAGTATTTCTCAATGCTAGTGCAGTGTCCGTCTTTGAGAATAGTAATCTCTGTGGAGGTATTGCAGAACTAAACCTTCCTTCTTGCAAATCGAACACCTCTAAACCATTTTCGACCAAAAAAGTTATAGTAATCGCCACAGTGGCTGCCATCCTGTCAGGCTTCATTCTGTGTCTTTGTTTGTTTATCATTTGGTGCCGGAGAAAGAAGTTGAAAGAAAATCTCTCTCCAACTGAATTGCCGTTTGAACACCGATTCTCGAGGGTCTCTTACGAGGAACTCTTTAGAGTCACCGATGGATTCTCTGAGAACAATGTGATCGGTAAAGGAAGATATGGTACTGTCTATAAAGGAACTACACAGGAAGGTGGTTCGGTGGCAGTTAAAGTGCTCAACTTGGGCCACAGAGGTGCTTCGAAGAGCTTCGTCTCGGAATGTCGAACCTTAGGGGCCATAAGACACCGAAATCTCGTGAAGATATTGAACGTGTGCTCAAGCGTGGACCATCGCGGCAACGATTTCAAAGCTCTATTATACGAATACATGGCTAATGGGAGCTTAGAGAATTGGATACACCAAGGAAATGAAGAAGACGTTAGGCATGAACATGAACAAGGACCACCAGGACATTTGGGACTAATGCAGAGGTTAGACATTGCCATTGACATAGCTTCCGCGATCGAATATCTTCACGAGGCTTGTAGCCCAAAGATTGTACACGGAGATCTGAAGCCGAGTAATGTCCTTTTGGACAACGAAATGATGGGGCGTGTTGGCGATTTTGGGCTGGCGAAGATCAGCTCCGCCGCGACAACAGAGGCCATGGACATTGACAACCGTAGCAGCTCAGTGGCAGTGAGGGGTTCTATAGGCTATGTCCCTCCGGGTAAGAAAATTTTCTAATTAATTGTCTAAGTTTTATCTGCATTGGCCTTGAGACGAATTTGGATTTTCATTGCATATTACTTGATGTGCACGATATTAGAGTATGGCATGGGGGACACAGTATCCACGCAAGGTGATGCGTACAGCTATGGCATTCTTTTATTGGAAATGTTCACCGTAAGGAGACCCACAGAAGAGGCTTTTCAAGGACCACTTGAATCTCCACACCTTTGTTAAGGTGGCTCTGCCACACCGAGCCACGGAGATTGTGGACTCGGCCATTTGTAGTGGAGAAGACGAGCAGGAAACCGAGAGGATGAGAGACTGCATTGCCTCCGTCCTAACGGTTGGAGTTGCGTGTTCGATGGAATCGCCGCGGGATCGGATGGGCATGGCGGAAGTACTCAATGAACTGCACAAGATCAGGGCTAGGTATGGAGCCGAGTAGAGAGGCTTGGTTGAAGCAAGTTCATAAAAATTCGGATGGTTCTATTCTCTGTCTTAATTTGTACTGTTTACCACTGGGCCAAAGCCAAACTCATATACTAGTTCAATGTATGTACTCTATCGCACTATTTTCTTTTTCTGAATTTTCTGTTTCTAATTTGCCTTATTTCTAATAAATTTTAAGTAATTCCTATTAATCTTAACTTTTTTAACATTAGATAATGTGAGTGCTACGTCCCTTTGGTCTCAAAAAGAGAGGTTTATTTGACAATTGCCGCCGATGACGTCATAACATCATTATCAAAATATTTTCAAATTATTCGAATTGACTACGCAATTTTGCTTATTGCCTCGGTAAATAGTTTTCTCATTAGATCACTTCCTTTCCTTCACATATCGATGAATATCTTTTAATTGTAATACATTATTGTATCAATCCAATGAAATCTCCAAATAGTCTGATAATATTATATTATCTCCCCTCAAACTCAAGGCCGTTCTAAGGAAATCAAGTGGAGTTTGGAAACTAGAAAATCAAGCAAGAAAAGGAGCCTTTGTAAGACTATCCGCGGTTTGAACATCAGAAGGGACATGGACAAGATCAACAGTTCCTCGAAAAATATGTGGTCGAGTAAAGTGATGCTAAATATTCAAATCCACAGGTGAGGGAGACTCGACCAAAGGGGTGGCAACGGTCGTGGGAACTTATTGGAGCCCTGAAGAACCTGGAGTTAAGTTACCCAAGAATAACTCAATATCAAGATCAATAAAATAAGATATGGAAGTTGAGAAGACAACGTGATGAAAATATTACGCATTCTTCGAAAAGAACATGACGAGAGACTTGAAGATGAGTAGAGACAGGATTCCAACATCTATATCCCTCTGCTCGATACTAAGTCCAAGGAAACAAAGAGGTCATGCACATGGCTTGAGTTTGGTGCATTCACGAGGTCGAAGAAGGATAGAGCACGCGCAACCAACCGGTTTGAGAGGAGTCTAACTGGGGGGAAGTGCCGTGCACAAGTTCTAGAGGAGATTTGTTCTGCATGACCGGTGAAGGAAGATAATTGATGGCGTACACAGCAGCAGGGTAGCTTCACCTCCAAAATTGTTTACGACGAGATACCGACACAAGCATAACTCGACCAGAATCTAAAATGTGCCTATGCTTGCACTCGGCAGGACAGTCTTGTTTGTGATGTATATGGACATGATCAAAGAACCAAAGTACGTAGCTGGGGAATGAAGTGTAAGGATTACTAGCGAAGTATTCCTCAGCATGATCAATGCAACAGTGGTGGTGACCGTGGAAAAGGACTGGGATGGCACGATAAAATTAGCACCTGAATCACTTTTTTTTATTTATATTAAAACAATATGTCAGAAGAGACCAATTATTTCAAGGAGGGATATGGAACTTCATCAATATTTTTACAAAATAGTGTGTACTTATTTCGGGCCAATAGTATGGTATAGATTAAAATTGCTACGTTAGCATGCTCCATCAAGATCAACATGAAATCATCAACGGAGTTGATGAAATAAGACTTCATCAAATTAAACTACATGGAGACTTGGGTGTTGTGCAGAGTTAATACGCTGATAAATAATCAAAGATATTATTTCAATTTTTTTTTTGATAATTATATGTAGATAAGAGTGTAAAAAAATTGGTAACATTGAATCTTTATAATCATCGAACGATACGTGGAACTACACATAGAGACATAAACATGTTTCTATAATAACTTTCTAATGAGTAACTTTTCATTGGACCTCGAAGAAGGTTGAAAAAATAGTTAAAAAGGAAAAATTAAAAAGAATAGGTTAGAAAACTAGCAATTGAATTTACCTTTTTTAACATTCTAAAAAGTTAAATCAAATTAGAAAAGGAAAATGGTTGAGAATTTATCTAATTTCTTTAATGAGGAAAATACTTGTAGATATCAAATAAGAAATTACTATTAGAATTAACAAAATTGAGCTATGCCATTTTAAGTTCACAATCTTCTAATAATGCCATTAAATTGAATTAAACAACTCTTTAGAATTTACAAGTACATGCATACATACTATACAAAAATCCTTTTGCGACACGTTTCTCTACTTGTTCTCAAATGATTTAGAGATGGATAGATGCATTATTCTATTATGTATTTATAGATTTATGAGTGTAGAGAATGTGAAGTGGAGGTGTATCTTACAAAAGGTTATAAATTATGTCGTTGCCAATTAATTTTAAATGATAATTCATATTGTGGATTGATAGGAGAAGTAAAAGTAAAGTCAATAAGATTATTAAATTTCGCCAAGGTTGATTTTAGGTGGCGGGTATTTTCTTGTTTTTGCAATGGGAAGAGGGCCATTCGAACAATATAAAATCTTAGGTGGTACACTTAGACTCCATTTTTTTTTAATTTCATACATAAATTTTGTTTGTTTCATGAAAAATAAATGATTTAAAAAAAGATTTTCCTCAAAACAATAGCTTGTATCGCTTAAAACAACTAGCAAATGAAAATTTTTTCATTATCATTATATCTAAATATTTTCATGGACAATGAAATTTGTTTTCATTCATTCATTTTTATAAGTGATGCAAGTCATCATTTTTAGAAAAATATTTTCCAAATTATTCATTTTCCAACGAAAACAAACGAGCCATAGGTGTTGAAAATTTGAGAATTCAATTGTATAATTTAAATAAGTTTTTTTTGGTCGAAGTATAATTTAAGTAAGTTGAAGAACTAACGATGAGATTATTAATTTTAGGAAAAAAACCACCAAAAATCCTAAACTATGTCCAATTTAACACATTTACCCCAAATTTTTTTTTTGTGATATCAAAAACTCCAAATTTGTACCTATGTGATAAATTTACTGTAAGCTTGTTTTTTTTTACACCAAAAACTTCAAATTAATACCCATCCCCAAATTATTTTTTTGTAACACTAAAGATCCTAAATATATTTTCGTGTGATATATTTATATCAAAATGTCATGGATATAAGTTTATAGTAAGTTTGGGGTGAATGTGTCATATTGGTACAAATGTGGGGTAAATGTAAAAAAAATTTAGGGTTAACGTGTGCATAATTTAGCGTTTGAGATTTTCCCTTAGTTTTATCAACGCTTTCTAATAACGCGTCATCTTCTGGAAGAGCTTTTCAGTTTCTCTTCGTCTCTGGGCGCCTGTCCGTCTCTCCCGCCCCTCCGCCGCTGCGCTTCCGCTCCGCCTGCCGTCGCCGTGTCGCCTCCGCTCGTTCGCCGTCTAACTCCCGCCTTCGCCTCCGAAAGCAGCGGCCGTACTTATGCTTAACGTCGCCCATCGCACCGGCCACCTCACAGCAGCCGAGCCGAGCTGAGCGACCCCCTCCAGGTACTCCTCATCGCCTTCTCTCTCTGTCTCTCTACTCGGACATGCTCCGGCGGCATTTCGTCTTCAAGGCATTAGTCGCTGTATTTTCTCTCCGTTGTTTCTTGTCTGGAACTGTGAGTGGGCTTGGGGATCGTTACATATATGGAATTGATCCTCAGCATCGTATGGCGCACTTGTGAAAAATCGAAACTTTGTTTCGGCTCATTAGAGTTTGCAATACTCGAGTATGAATGGAAAAAGGAATTCGGTTTTGCCCTGCAGAAAGCAAGACCCTCGCGAGCGCCGAATTCTCCTGGCAATGGAAGGGAAAAACTGGATGAATCGAAGCAAAGGGCGTTTCCAGCATGAGTGAGGGCGGACAATGAGAGCGGCATTGTTGAACGGCAACAGTTCAAGTCTTTTTCTTAGAAGCATCGTCGGTGGTGGCAATTCTCTCGCTTTTGGAAGCCTTTGGAGTCCCCCTAAGGCGCGAAACCCGACTAAAGGAGCAGGGTTCTTGAGTTGCAAATCGATGTCGATGAATTCGCCGACAGTGCGAGTGAAGGAAAAGATCGATCTGACAGAGAAGGAGAAGATGATCTTTGATAGGCTTCTCGCCACCATTCGCCATTTTGATCTCTCGACCGAGCTACGCGTCGCCAGTGGCTGGGTCCGTGATAAGGTTGGTGTATTTGGTAGTGTAGTAGGGTGTTCGCTTCGATGTGCGGCATGTGCCTTTAAGTTCTTTTGCGGTACTAATAGTGTATAAGCATGTTGTCTTGTGCTTCTTTTGAGATATTTTTCTCCAATTACATGTTTAGTTATATCCAATTTAAGTTCTTACTTTTCCCTTCCCATAAAATGCGTGTTTTCTTTTTTTTCTTTTTCTTTTGTTTGCCTATATTTTGGCAAACAAATCAGCTGGGGTCGGTTTCGGCTTTCCTTCGCATTCCACGATCTAAGGAGTTTCTCACCATTTCCGGAGACAGCGCCAATCCTTACTTAATTACAACGACCACGACATTTAGGTGAGGCCATCTCTTGTCTATGTTTCCTTGGGGTCCATTTGAACATGTGAGAAGGGGCCGTCGTCCATCCATGGGACGGAAAAAGGGGAGTCTTTGGGTCCAGTTGAACGTGAGAGAAGGGCCGCCCATTCGCTTTGTGGACTGATAGGTGGGGTCTATTGGCCGTTGGATTTCTTTCTGCCGAACATTGGCCGTTGGATCGGATGACCAGGACCTGAGAGTCATTGGCTCTCCTTTCGACTTGTTTTTTTTTTTTTAAATTGTTTTCGTTCCTGGGTTTATTTTATTTTATTTTCGTTACATAAGAGCCATGACAACTTCAAATAGTCTATCGGACAGTAGGCCATGAAAGAAATTCCGGGGGATGACAATGACTCAAATGGGTGATATTATAGAGGGAGGCTTATCGTGTGAAGGTTATATTCAAATGTCATGGGTGTTGTAATTAAGTACTCCGGAAATGGTGAGAAACTCCAAAGACAGTGGAATGCGGAGGAAAACCAAAACCGACCCGAGCCGATTGTGAAGTAAGACGTCTTCCTAATCCACATGAAAAATACCTAAACACAAAAGAAAAAGCAAGAAGAGGTACTCTTTCAAAAAGTCTACAATATAGCCTATTTTCCATGATTACTCGCGGCTTTCAATGGTGAATCGGGGTGCGGCGAGCTGCGGCTGAGCCACGTCAGTGTTCTGGTCAAAGGGTGGATCTGGATCCCCGACAATTTGGACAATTTGTATCCGTGCCGGCGTGGGCTGAGCTGCTTGTGGACTAAATCTCCGGTTCTTGCGGACAAGCTCGACGCGTTGCTGTTCCAGACCTCGACGCCGCCGCTTCTGGTACGTTTCTTTACTTTGGTCATCTGATGTTGTAATTTGTGAGTTTCAGTTAATTCAGTTGTACAGAGATGTTGTAATTTCATGTTCAAGGCGAGTCGTTTGCGAATTTTAGCTGCACATTAGCAATCTTTCGAGCGGCCCGTGCCACAAAATTATCTGCATTTCAATTCTTTCGTCAATTAGAGAAGATGATCCGATATGATGAAGCCTCCGTTAAAATGTGTCTAATCAATGGAAACACATATGCTTTTGAACGTCTTCATTTCTTATTTAGTTCAATCCGGAAGAGACTTCGCTTGCAGCTGCCAGCTTGTTAGGACACAAACCCCAGTCGCAATGGAAAAGCATGTGGCGATTATGTTCCTGTTTTACTATGCCCAACTCCCATTATGGACGAGCTTAGCGATGCAAACCAACCAGACGGATCGGCTCGCTTTGATCTACTTCAGAGACAGTGTGCATGAGGATCCGCTCAGATTTCTGAGCTCGTGGAATGACTCTTCTCATCACTGCGAGTGGCAAGGTGTCGTATGCAGTGGACGGCATCCCGGAAGGGTCGTGTCCCTTGAACTGACGTCAAAAAGCTTGGGCGGTCTTCGATCACCTCACGTCGGGAACCTCTCTTTCCTGAGAAGCCTCGTTCTACAGAGCAACAGCTTTCGCGGCGAAATTCCACAAAGTATTGGCCATTTGTTTCGCCTCCGCCTCTCGTTCTTAGTAACAACTCTTTCGGCGGACAAATGCCCACCAATCTTTCTCAGTGCTCAAACCTTGAGAGTTTGAATCTCGTTGATAACCAACTTGTGGGCAAAATTCATGATGATCTTGGCTCTTTGTCAAAGCTTCGAGCTTTAGGTTTGGCTATCAACAGTCTTACAGGATCTATTCCTCATTCTATTGGAAATCTCTCCCAACTTTACACGCTCTCCGTCACAGAAAATGGGCTGCGAGGAGAGATTCCCGAGACATTGACCAAGCTTGGTGGTTTGAGGTTTGTTGGATTGGCGTTTAACCAACTCACCGGCGAGATCCCTCCCGCAATCTTTAACATCTCCAGCATTTTCTCCTTCAGCGCCGGTGAGAATCAATTGAGAGGGAGCATTCCCCCTTATATCGGCAACACTCTTCCATCTCTCACTTTTCTTAATTTTCGTAACAACTTGTTTACTGGCGTTATACCTCCGTCCTTATCGAATGCCTCCGGCCTTGAGTACATCTACTTTAACAATAACAGTTTTCACGGACCGATGCCCGCAAATCTTGGAAGGCTAAAAGCTCTTGAAGCAATGTATTTTAGTTCTAACCAGTTGCGAGATGACTTCAGTTTCATTACCTCATTGACTAATTGTTCAAGGCTGGAAATTATTGGGGTGGACCTCAATTTTCTTGAAGGTCCGTTGCCGGATTCCATTGGCAATCTTTCCAACAGCGTTACACTAATTTCTATGGGGTACAACCCAATGTTCGGAACCATTCCTCCAGGTATTGGCAATCTCTTTTACCTGTCCTTTCTTGGCTTAGAGTACAATTCGCTCGGCGGTCGTGTTCCTTCTTCTATCGGAGCACTCCATAACTTGCACGAATTGTACTTAAGCAGAAACATGTTAACGGGAGAGATCCCATCATCGATCGGCAATTTGACGCTATTGAATCGCCTTTACCTGTCGTTCAACGACTTCTATGGGGAAATACCACAGTCTTGGTAATTGCAAGCAGCTAATCGAGCTTGAGCTTTCGAACAATTATCTGAGTGGTTCAATTCCAGGGGAGGTTCCTAGTCTTTCTACCATTTCGATTATCTTCAGCTTGGCACAAAACCAGTTGAGCGGATCTCTTTCATCTCAAGTTGGGTCCTTGGCCAATCTTGTCGAACTGGATCTATCTTACAACAAGCTGACCGGACCAATTCCTAGCTCCATCAGCGAGTGCTTGCAATTGGAACGGCTCAGCTTTGCAGTCAATTCCTTTGATGGCGAAATTCCTCCGGCTTTAGGCACATTACGGGGCTTACAACAGTTGGATGTTTCCCATAATGACTTCTCTGGTGAAATCCCGAGGTTTCTCGCTCAACTTACGGATCTGAATTACTTGAATCTATCTTTAAACAAGCTCGAAGGAGAAGTTCCGAAGCAAGGAGTATTTCTCAATGCTAGTGCAGTGTCCATTTTTGAGAATAGTAATCTCTGTGGAGGTATTGCAGAACTAAACCTTCCTTCTTGCAAATCAAACACCTCTAAACCATTTTCGACAAAAAAAGTTACAGTAATCGCCACAGGGGCTGCCATCTTGTCAGGCTTCATTCTGTGTCTTTGCTTGTTTATCATTTGGTACCGGAGAAAGAAGTCGAAAGAAAATCTCTCTGCAACTGAATTGCCGTTTGAACACCGATTCTCGAGGGTCTCTTATGAGGAACTCTTTAGAGCCACGGATGGATTCTCTGAGACCAATGTGATCGGTACAGGGAGATATGGTACTGTCTATAAAGGAACTACACAGGAAGGCGGCTGGGTGGCGGTTAAAGTGCTCAACATGGGCCACAGAGGTGCTTCGAAGAGCTTTGTCTCGGAATGTCAAACCTTAGGAGCCATAAGACACCGAAATCTCGTGAAGATCTTGAACGTGTGCTCAAGCGTGGACTATCGCGGCAACGATTTCAAAGCTCTATTATACGAATACATGGCTAATGGGAGCTTAGCGAATTGGGTACACCAAGGAAACAAAGAAGACGTTATGCATGAACATGAACATGGAAAACCAGGACATTTGGGACTAATGCAGAGGTTAGACATTGCCATTGACATAGCTTCCGCAATCGAATATCTTCACGAGGATTGTAGCCCAAAGATTGTACACGGAGATCTGAAGCCGAGTAATGTCCTTCTGGACAAAGAAATGATGGGGCAAGTTGGGATTTCGGGCTGGCGAAGATCAGCTCCGCCGCGACAACAGAGGCCATGGACATTGACAACCGTAGCAGCTCAGTGGCAGTGAGGGGTTCCATAGGCTATGTCCCTCCTGGTAAGAAAATTTTCTCATTAATTGTCTGAGTTTTATCTGCGTTGGTCTTGAGACGAATTTGGATTCATTGCGTATTGCTTGATGTACACTTTATTAGAGTATGGCATGGGGGACATGACAACCACACAAGGCGATTTGTACAGTTACGGCATTCTTTTATTGGAAATGTTCACTGGGAGGAGACCCACAGAAGAGGCTTTCAAGGACCATTTGAATCTCCACACCTTTGTTAAGGTGGCTCTGCCATACCGAGCCGCGGAGATCGTGGACTCGGCCATTTTTAATGGAGAAGACGAGCGGGACACCGAGAAAATGAGAGACTGCATTGCCTCCGTCCTAACGGTTGGAGTTGCGTGTTCATTGGAATCACCACGGGATCGAATGGGCATGGCCGAAGTACGCAAGGAACTGCATAAGATCAGGGCTAGGTATGGAGCCGAGTAGGGAGGCACGGTTGAAGCAAGTTCATAAAATTTTGGATGGTCCTATTCTCTGTCTTAATTTTTGCTGTTTACCACTGGGGCCAGAACCAATACTAGTTCAATGTATGTACTCTATCTCACTATTTTTTTTTCTGAATTTTCTGTTTATAATTTTTCCTTATTTCTAATAAATTTAAGTAATTCCTATTAATCTTAATTTTTTTAACATTAGATAATGTGAGTGCTACGTGCATTTGGTCGCAAAAAGAGAGTTTTGTTTGACGATTATCAAAATATTGTCAAATTATTTCGAGATGTCATATTTGATGAAATTAAAATTGACTATGTAATTTTGCTTATTGCTTAGGTAAATAGTTTCTTATTAGATTACTTCCTTTCCTTCACATATCGTTGAATACCTTTCAATTGTAATACATTATTGTGTCAATCTAATGAAATATCCAAATATTCTGATAATATTATAATATCTCCCCTCAAACTCATGATCATTCTAACCAAATCAAGTGGAGTTTGGAAACTAGAAAATCAAGCAAGAAAAGGAGCCTTTGTAAGACCATCGGCGGTTTGAACGTCAGAAGGGACATGGACAAGATCAATAGTTCCTCAAAAAATATGTGATTGAGTAAAGTGACGCTTGTTCTCAATATTCAAATCCACATATGAGGGAGACTCGACCAAAGGCGTGGCAGGAGTCGTGGGAACGTACTCAAGCCCTGAAGAACCTGGAGTTAAGTTATCCAAGAATAACTAAATATCAAGATTAATAAAATAAGATAAGAAAGTTGAGGAGACAACGCGATGAAAACATTGCGCATTCTTCGAAAAGAACCTGACGAGATACTTGAAGATGAGTAAAGAGAGGATTCCAACATCTATATCCCTTATGTTCGATACTAAGTCCGAGGAAACAAAGAGGCGATGCACACAGCTCAAGTTTGATGCTTTCACGAGGTCGAAGAAGGACAGAGCATGCGCAACCAATCGGTTTGAGAGGAGTCTAAGTCGGGGGGAGTGCCGTGCAAGAGGAGATTTGTTTTGCATGACCGGTGAAGGAAGATGATTGATAGTGTATACAGAAGCAAGGGCAGCTTCACCCCAAAATTGTTTACGACGAGTTACCGACACAAGCATAACTCGATCAAAAGCTAAAATGTGTCTATGCTTGCGTTCGGCACAACGGTCTATGAACCAAAGTACGTAGCTGGGGAATGAAGGTGTAGGGATTACTAGCGAAGTATTCCTTCGCATGATCAATGCAACATTGGTGGTGACTATGGAATGGGATTGGGATGGCATGATAAAACTAGCTCTTGAATCACTTTTTTTTATATTAAAACAATATGTCAGGAGAGATCAATTATTTCAAGGAAGGACGACCAACTTCGTCTATATTTTTACAAAATAGTGTGTGCTCATTTCGGGTCAATAGTATGGTATTGATTAAAGTTGCCACATCAGCATGCTCCATTGAGATCAACATGAATTCATCAACCGAGTTGATGAAATAAGACCTTCATCAAATTAAACTACACAGAGACTTGGGCGTTGTGCACAGTTAGTACGCTGATAAATAATCAAAGATATTATTTCTGAAAATTTTTGACAATTATATAAATAAGAGTGTAAAAAAATTGGTAACTTTGAATCTTTATAGTCATCGAAGGATACGTGGAACTATATATAGAGACATAAACATGTTTCTATAATAACTTTCTAATGAATAACTTTTCATTGGACCTCGAAGAAAGTTGAAAAAAAAATTAAAAAGAATAGGTTAGAAAAATAGCAATCAAATTTATCTTTTTTAACATTCTAAAAATTTTAATTAAATTAGAAAAGGAAAACTGTTGAGAATTTATATAATTTCTATAATGCGGAAAATACTTGATATATCAAAATTGACAATCTATCAAAATTAGAATTGACAAAATTGAGCTATGCCCTTTTCAGTCCACAATCTTCTAATAATGCCATTAAATTGAATTAAACAACTCCTTAGAATTTACAAGTACATGCATATGTCATGGGCCAGTAATTCTTTGGTCGCGGATGTGCGACGCCTGTTGAGTTGTTCTCACCAGGTCAACCCTTGTTCAATAGTTGTTCCAAAGAACAATACGACGAATAGTTTTCTCGTATCAAATCGTACCAAGTCTAGCATAGTTCGGGCGTCTAGTCGATTGAGTGATAAACGCAAAAAATTTTACGTACCACGACTGGTTTTGGGCTGTCATGGGAGGCCAACCTTGTTTTCAGAGTTTCTAAGGGTATATTTGTTCCATCCTATAACTCCCAGCACCAACTATCCTAACACCACTCCCACGACCCAGTTATATTCAGTTCTTCTGCATCCTCACTCTTCACTTGATAACCCTGAACACCACTCACAAGGATACATGAGTACTAGAGAATCTCGGTCCGTGACATATACATACTATACAAAAATCCTTTGGGACACATTTCTCTATTTGTTGAGATGGATAGATGCATCATTTTAATGTGTATTTATAGATTTATAAGTGTAGAGAATGTAAAACAGAGGTGTATCTTATAAAAGGTTATAAAATATGTCATTGCCAATTAATTTTTAAATGATAATTCATATTGTGGATTAATAGGAGAAGTAAAAGTAAAGTCAACAAGATTATTAAATATCGCCAAGGTTGATTTTAGGTGGCGGCTATTTTCTTGTTTTTGCAGTGGGAAGAGGGCCATTTGAACAATATGAAATCCTAGGTGATACATTTAGACTCCGTTTTTTTTTTTTGTCGATACTTAGATTTCGTTTATTTCGTGAATAAAAATGATTTTGAAAATATTTCCCTAAAAACGATCATTTGTATTGCTTAAAATAATTTGCCAATAAAAAATATTTCATTATCGATAACAATTTATGTCTAAATATTTTCGTAAATAATAAAAATATTTTTCATTTATTCATTTTTATAAGTGATACAAGCGATCGTTTTTAGGAAAATATTTTCTAAATTATTCATTTTCCAACTAAACAAACTAGCCATAAATGTTAACAATTTGAGAATTCAATTGTATAATTTAAATAAGTTTTTTTTTGTGGGAGCATAATTTAAATAAGTTGAAGAACTAAAAATGAGATTATTAATTTTAGGGAAAAAGCAACCAAAAACCCTAAATTTTGTTTACTGTTACACATTTATCCCAAACTTTTTTTGTGATATCAAAAACTCCAAACTTATCCTGTGTGACGCATTTATTCTAAGCTTTTTTTTTTAGGTATAAAAAACCCAAAACTTATAACCGTGTAACACAGTTACTCCAAATTATTACAAAAACCATCCGGAGTAAATATGTCACGTGAATAGAAGTTTGGGGTTTTTTATGTTAAAAAAAGTTTGACGTAAATGTGTTATATTAATATAAGTTTGGGATAAATGTGTCACACGAATACAAATTTATGATTTTCCGTGACATCAACAACAAAAGTTTAGGGATAACATGCGCATATAATTTAGCGTTTTTTTTTTTTTGGCTTTTTCCCTTAATTTTATCATCGCTTTCAAATAACGCGTCATCGTCTGGAAGAGCTTTTCAGTTTCTCTTTATCTCTGGGCGCCTGTCCGTCTCTCCCGCCCCTCCGCCGCTGCGCTTCCGCTCCGCCCGCCGTCGCCGTGTCGCCTCCGCTCGTTCGCCGTCTTAACTCCCGCCTTCGCCTCCGAAAGCAGCGGCCGTACTTATGCTTAACGTCGCCCATCGCACCGGCCACCTCACAGCAGCCGAGCCGAGCTGAGCGACCCCCTCCAGGTACTCCTCATCGCCTTCTCTCTCTGTCTCTCTACTCGGACATGCTCCGGCGGCATTTCGTCTTCAAGGCATCAGTCGCTGTATTTTCTCTCCATTGCTTCTTGTCTGGAACTGTGAGTGGGCTTGGGGGTCGTTACATATATGGAATTGATCCTCAGCATCGTATGGCGCACTTGTGAAAAATCGAAACTTTGTTTCGGCTCATTAGAGTTTGCAATACTCGAGTATGAATGGAAAAAGGAATTCGGTTTTGCCCTGCAGAAACCAAGGCCCTCGCGAGCGCCGAATTCTCCTGGCAATGGAAGGGAAAAACTGGATGAATTGAAGCAAAGGGCGTTTCCAGCATGAGTGAGGGCGGACAATGAGAGCGGCATTGTTGAACGGCAACAGTTCAAGTCTTTTTCTTAGAAGCATCGTCGGTGGTGGCAATTCTCTCGCTTTTGGAAGCCTTTGGAGTCCCCTTAAGGCGCGAAACCCAACTAAAGGAGCAGGGTTCTTGAGTTGCAAATTGATGTCGATGAATTCGCCGGCAGTGCGAGTGAAGGAAAAGATCGATCTGACAGAGAAGGAGAAGATGATCTTTGATAGGCTTCTCGCCACCATTCGCCATTTTGATCTCTCGACCGAGCTGCGCGTCGCCGGTGGCTGGGTCCGTGATAAGGTTGGTGTATTTGGTAGTGCAGTAGGGTGTTCGCTTCGATGTGCTTTTAAGTTCTTTTGCGGTAGTGATCGTGTATAAGCATGTTGTGTTGTGCTTCTTTTGAGATATTTTTCTCCAATTACATGTTTAGTTTTATCCAATTCAAGTTCTTACTTTTCCCTTCCCATAAAACACGTGTTTTCTTTGTTTGATTGGTGTTTTTTTTTTTTCTTTGGAGTGTGAATTTTAGAAAATGCAGTGCTGCCGTTATTACGTGTGAAGTTTTGTTTCTAAGATCGGTAGGAACATCAACTAATCGAGGTCTTTATCGTTGTGGTTCTTGTTTGTTAAGTTACTGGGATTGAGACTGCATTTTTTATTTATTTAGTCATCGGGCGTTATTATTTGTAGGGGATAACTCTATGGTGATGTACGCAATAACTCTTCAAGTTTAGGAATGCGAATGGTTGATTCGGCAGTCTTTTTTAAATGGGTTTAGTTTTACAAGTTACAACAATAATGTGAACTTCATAATTTTCAAAGGCTGCATTTTGGGAAAAATAGGTATCTGCTAGTTTTTTTGGCAATTGCCTCAGCAGTCAGCACTATTAGCCAGTGAAGTAAGATGTTTTCCTAACCCACATGAAAAATACCTATAAACAAAACAAAAAACAAGAAGAGGTACTCTTTCAAAAAGTCTACAATAGCCTATTTTCCATGATTACTCGCCGCTTTCGGTGGTTTATTACTCTCAGCCTCTGCCATCTGAGCCAGTTGGGTGCCCTTACATGTCACGTAATTTTAGTGATGGACATTTAGACAGGTGAAATTTACTTCTATGAAGAGTTAGCATTCCCTTGGCACCGCATCTCTGAGTTACTCTCTTTTTTATATGCACACATTCAGATTATATATGATACTGATTACTAACTTTGCATTCCAAAAGCATCACTATCACCTCTTATTGGGTGGTGATGTCCCTTTGCTACAACCCTCAATAGATAGGACCTTTCCCAACCTTTGACAAGGTGCCAGGGTAATTGTTTGAGTAGAGAATGATTATATGTTCCTAGAAAGCCCCCAAGATGCTTTCCAACTGTTATAAATGATTTGATATCTGTCATTTTTAGCAAAATTTCTTGCTCAGAATCATTTATCATGTTCAAGCTGGAACGATTTGAAGAGAAACGATACGATTATTGTACTTGAATCGATGTGAATGATATTGTGAAAATTGATGGATTTATTGTGTTAAACCTATTCTTTGAAGAAGATGATGAACAAACTCACGTTATCTCATCTTTACAGCTTCTGGGGAAAGAGTGTTATGACATCGATATTGCAATTGATGACATGTTGGGCAGTACATTCGTTGATAAGGTTACCCGATATCTGGCATCAACAGGGGAAGAGGCACAAGGTCTGGCTGTTATCCCGAGGTACATTGAGCTTTGTACTTGCCTTTTGCCTTCAAATATTAGCTTTCCATATTTTAATGTGTGAATGTATGATTTGACTTGAAGTTTATGTGTGAGTGTTGGTCATTTGTTTACTCTGCACCAGAAATTTATAATGTGAGTGGTGATTATTTGTTTATTATGCACTCCATTTCTTACATAGTGATTTCTTCGGCACTGGAAAAAAAGGAAAGACTCGGAAGGAGTGTTCACTAGAGTATAAAATGAAGAGGAATAGGTCTACAATACTTTGTTAAATAACTAAGACCTCGGGATCAAGCAATGAAGTGCGAAGGAAGAGGATTAAAAGAGTGTTTTGAAGGCGTAGAGATTGCTGTTTTGGAGATAAAAGACTTTTGATTCTTCATGATTAACTGTTTTTTTTTACTTCACGAATTTTGAAGTGCTAGACATTTTATATACAGTGGATCCTATATCTTGAATATGATCTATGTGTTAGGATTGGCATGCATGTGGTTTAGGATGTGCCAGACCCTTGTAGCTTTTAGCAAGTTTTACTGGAAACAATCCATTTCTATCCGTGTGGCCACACTACTTTTCACTGACCTCTAATCACAATGCAAAAACTATTAAGTAAATCAAATAAGTCAAAGAAGGGTTCCAATTGCCGATTTTGTGCATATCTTACAAACTCTATATCCCTACAAAGGAAGACTGTCATCAGAAGTTGATCACCTCATGATTTGTAAGGCAGTCTCCTAAGAGATAAAGCCACTCTTGGAGGGAATCGACACTTTCAAAATCTTTTTCATATTGAGATTAATTGGCCCTCTTACGTTTATTTCTCCAAGGGCTTTGAAATATGATTAAGTGAAGAACAAATGGTTCACTTTAAGTGGAATAAGGAGTGTGTGCAGGATGAAGTATGCACTTTTGAGAATACCCCTTTTCTGCTCCATTTTTTGCCCCTTGATTTTTTTTCTTTTGGTCTTATTATCTGGTAGGTCTACTGTTATCATGAGCTCTGCAGAAGGGCCTTTCTTTTTCGCCTCCTGTAATTCTATCTTAACTTGTTTTTGTATGTTAGTCATGAAATATGGTTTTGTCACCAAAGTTGAATTTGGAAATTCTTATACATGAATATATGCCCATATTTTCTGATTTAATTAGGTTGTGGTATATTGTTGTGGTAGATGCTGTCTCCATTCTGATTGGGTATTTGAAGACATTTTTTATATAAATTTAGTTTTGCAGCAACCCAGACCAGTCGAAACATCTGGAAACAGCGAGGATGCGCCTCTATGATATATGGATTGATTTTGTTAACTTAAGGTCTGAAAAGTACAGTGAGAATAGCCGCATTCCCACCCAGATGGTATGCAGCAGTACAGCTGTTAATTCATCTGTTGTATATTTTCTTTCTACCTGTATCTTATTATCTTGTTTAGTCATGGCTTACTAGATGGTATCATTACCAGTAAATAGCAAAAATAGTTTTTATCTCTTTCGTAAACTTTCTTTTTTAGGGAAAGAAAGACAAGCAAATTAGTTAGGTGATATCAATAGGGCAGTGGCTTGCTTGCTCCTTGTTGGTACTCGTACTTAATGAATGCAAGTCTACGAATGACAAGTATGTAGCTCAGAATCAACAGTAAAGCGACTTGAATTCTAGCAATCATATGTCGATTCTTGAACAGTCTTGGTCGAGGAACTTTCCTCTATACTATTTTCCTTTCTTTTGCTAATTCACTCAAAAGACCTGTTGAACAAACGTTTTTTTCTTATAAGCGTCTAGTATATCATCATAAAATAAGAGGGCCTAAGAATCATCATGAAAGCTAAATGCAATGAGCTAAAGGCCTTTATATTTTATGTCCATGGCCATTCGTTTTCAACATTACCATAGTGTTTTCTCTTAGATTGTCAATGCTTGGAGCAAACTTTTGTTTATTTATCGCTTTCTCCTCTCTCTCTCTCTCTCTCTCTCTCTCTCTCTCTCTCTCCATGCACTGGTGCTTCCAATGTGATTGCACTTTTGTTCAACTATTTATGACCCGAAAATCTTGCTAGTTTCTTGGTTGTTACTTTTGTGAATGATCGTTCAATTTGACTTCTCTTACAGGAATTTGGAACTGCAGAAGAGGATGCTTATAGAAGGGATTTAACTATAAACAGGTGTCTCTTCTGCTTTATGTAACTGATAAATTACTCTTGAATCAAAATGTTAATTGCATCCGAGTCTGTTTATCTCAGAACAATTCATTGCTTAGTTTTTGGTGGTATTTGATCTAACACCTGTTAATTAAATCCATTTTGAAAGCATCAAATCATTCTATTACTTTATATTTGATACAAAACAAATTTTTCTATCACTCTATCCAACCTTATTTCTAGTTACTGACAGTGGACATAGTCTGCTCTTCCGTGAAGTATATGTAGCTCGAAACTTACTGCCTGTGGATCATTTAATGCTAATTAAATAGATTATAATTAAAGAGGAATTGCTGGTCATTTTGGTTTTCTGGTCAGCTGGCAAGAAGTCATGGAATGTACGGTCTTTCATATCTTTGTTTGGATATCTTTTTTTTTAGCTTATAAAGTGGTTTAGCACCACATGCCGTTTATTAATTTGAGAAATTTTCATGTTAATGAAATTGGACTTTGAATACTATAATCCGCTCTCTATTTTAGACATGACTGGACATCCGGATAGCTATTGCTTCTTTATATGTTTAAAATATGAAATTTGCTAACTTCAATCTGCTTCTGTACTTCAAACAGCTTGCTACTCTTATTCGTATCATTCCACTCTATACTGGTCCAGTTTTCTGATGACCTATTTTTTTTTTTTTCTGACAGCTTGTTTTACAATATCAACACCAGCTCAGTTGAAGATTTAACTGGGAGAGGTTAGAATAGATTTTTTGACTTGGTTTTCTTTTCATGAGAACTTGTTGGGAATTAAACTATATCAATTCTTCTGCTTTTTGAATTTTTGTTCCCTGTACAGGGATTGATGATCTTAAATCAGGAAAAATTGTGACACCTCTAGCCCCAAAGGAAACGTTTCTGGATGATCCTCTGCGAGTTCTTCGTGCAGTTCGCTTTGGTGCTGTTTTATTTAAATTTTGTTGGGCTTTTGTTTCTTGCGTCTATTTAGTTCTGGATATTCTTATTCAGTGTGCCTGAGGCCATTTATAATGCGACCCATTGCTATTTTTTTGTTAGTAGAACAAATGGATGTATTATATAAATAAACATGGGAAGTTTTATTATATCTTTGTCAATGCCATAGCTTGTTACCTTTGGACTAGTTGCATGAAATTGTGTTAAGAGTTGCATGTGACAGTCTGATACACATTCATGCACCAACTGCCGTCTTCCTTCTATTCACATTTATTTTTAATGTACAAATGGATGTATTACGTGTGTAAACATGTGACTGCATAGGTAGGTAAAAGGTTTTAATCAAGAAATTAATGATCACATGAAAGATATACCTACAATAGAGTGTGCTAGAACCATGAGCCTACCTTTTGTACTTTGTGTACGATTCTTTTCTTTCAAAGACTCTTGGATCCTCTTGCATCCCCACAATCCCTGAATTGGGAATGCTTAATGACTTATTTTTAGATGAGCTTCGTAAACCTGGCGTTTTCGCAGCTCATCTTACAAAGAAGCCTTCTTTTTTTCGTTCTTCTGCCATGTAATGTGGATGCTTATTTTTCTTTAATTTGTACAAGAGTTTTGCGAGATCAAAGGGAGGTCATCTTTGTGCCTCCATGTTCATCATCTTGTGTTCATAGGCGCAAGGTTCAGATTTACGTTGGATGAAGAGCTGAAGCGAGCTGCCGCATCCAATGATGTCAAAGATGCACTTGGAGCTAAAATCAGTAGAGAGCGCATTGGAACAGAAGTATGTGTCTATAATATTCCTCTATTGTCTGCTTTATCTCTTATAAATGTTTTTTGGTGAGAGTTCTTCTTGTACATGTGGCCTTTTATCTTTTCTCTCAACATCCCTATATGGTTTGTATTTCTCATTTGAATGTTACTTCTCATTGATGAGATGGGATTAATGTTTTTCCCCTTCTTCGGTTTGGCAGGTTGATCTGATGATATCGGGCAATGAGCCAATTAAAGCTATTGCTTACATCAATGAGTTGCAATTGTTTTGGGTTGTCTTCAGTCTACCTCATGAACATGAACATGAACCGACATTGCCAGAAGATTGCGATAGGTTGGTTTGTTGGATTGGTTCTTATGATCATCTGGCTAGACATGATTGATATCTACATATTTAATGCACTGTTACTAATAACTGAACATTCAACAACATCAGGCTAGGATATGGTTTGTTGCAATCTAAATTATTCCACTTTTGTGAATTGTGAGTATCTAGTTGTCCAGCAAATTAGTTATGAGGAAGAAGAAAATGATTTGGCTTATGAATGTTAGACTCTGGATAGTTTTCAGTAGAGTTGCTTGTATTGGGGAATATGTTACAATTTTGACAAAACTGGTTTGGGAAGAAGAAAACATAGTGGAACTTTTTGTGACAAAAGAGAATTTACTGGGCAACTACAAGATCTCTTGGTATTAGTGAGAGTTGATTGCCACTATGCTAGGCTCTTGTTTCTCTACGCTCATGGAAAGAAGTGAAATCTAAAGTATGGTGGCAACTTCAAAAGCTTTTGTGTCTTAAAATTTACCCAACTGGGTCTAGATGCTAGAGCCATGCTATAACTTACTGGATGAACAAATCAAGTGTACTAAATGTTTCTTTTGATGTAAGTGTAGAAGCTTATTAAGAGAAGAAGGCACACTGCTAAAGTATACCAAATATACTGCAAAAAGGAAAGACAAGTTGAAGACAATGAGAGAAGGAAGCCAGCTAAAAAGATATCAAATTAAATCCAAAAGGGTTGTATGAAAAGCATCGAGAAAGGCTAATATTCAAATTGCTACACACCTCCTAGAACTTTTCTTGGTTTCGCGGACAATATATTTCAAGTTGTTGGGAGGCATTGGACACTCTCCACTGTTCTCATGTTTCTTTCCATGATAATCTCAATTAAGGTTGATATGTCCCATTTCTAAATCGAGTTAGTAATTTCAGTTCTACACGAATCTCCAGAGCTTCCTACTGCTTTTAGACTTTCACTGTAGAACTTTGTAGTTTCTCTTATTCTCATTGTTGTGTTGGTGCGTAGTTGCTTACAGATTGCATCTGTTGGTATGTTTCTAGGCTCTGCTTGGCTTATATGGATGCTGCATGGAGCCTTCTGCAGCTACTTGGATCGTTGTCTCTTACTGTGCGTGCTAATCCTTAAATTTATGCTATTTCGTGCTGGTACATGCTTGTTTTTTGTGTTTTTCATACAAAAGCTTATGTGCAGCTAAATGGCTTTATGGTATCTAAACTACTCTTTGGCTTATAGGCTCAAAATGGGCTGCTTGATTTTGGTTTCGCTGTGACAGATGAAATATGCGGCACATGAAATGCTCTATGCTGAATCTTTAGCAGAGTCGTGTGATTTTCATTATATTTTGGATGGAAGATGTCATCATATGGCTTTAGAAATTTAGACTTGATAAGGATCAATTTGAAGCACTTGATTGCTTGATTATCATTATGATCTTCTTATATTTTAGTCAAAACAGGCTACTTTAGGAGTTGTGATGCAAAATTGGCTGTACTTGTTAGCGGGAGATAAGTTTACTAAATGTAATTGGCTCCACTCATCCTGTCTGAACCGAGTTAAATTTTTCAGAATCTATTATTTGCTCATTTATTTTGCTTCCTTGTAGTTCCTCCTTTGTTTCTTTCTGAACCTGCATTTGATTTTTTTTTGTGGTCAGAAACCTGTGCTTGATTGACAATTGCATTATGTTGCGGGTTTACTGCGATCAATGTCTCTTTGAGAAAAGAAAATTGTAAAAACATGCAAAGAATTATTGTAGTCATGCTGATCTCCTGCAATCCCTAGCCGCTTGAATTTTATAAGTTCTGTTTTTTATTATAATACTATTACTCTATTATAAATTCGACCAAAAAAAAGTTATTGTATATGCTCGGGCGTTCCAGTGACTATTTTCTCTTGTTTAGATTTTGTTACTTCTTACCAGCCACAGGCATTCTCATCGTGATTGGTTTACTAGATTTGTTCTTTTTTTACATGGTCTAATTGATAGAGTTAAGTTCTTGTCCTATGCTCAGGCAAACCATGTACTATCTGTAATCATTGCTTCTGCTACTTCTTGTTGCTTGATCTGTTCATCTGTGTAACTCAATGTGCATATTCTTCTTGAACTTTCCTTGGGAGTAATGTGCTTTTGATTACTCAGTAGCTATACCTTTTTCAGGACGAACAAAGAAGGTTGTCCTTGTATGCAGCTCTCTTTTGCCCTTTCAGAACCATCACATACAGAGATAGCAAAGGCAAGAAGGTACCTTCATCTTTCCTTTCTTCAATTTGCATGTGCGCGTGTCTTCTAATTGGAATAATGGGTCTTCTCCTTTTACCAAAGAGCTTCAACTTTTGGATTGGACTTAAATTGGGAACAAGAAGTTGTCCCTGTTTTTAACGTATTGTTCCCTTTCTATTGCAATCACAGTTATTTAATTTCTTTTGCAGATTCCAATTGTCAACTATGTTTTTCGAAACTCTCTCAAGCGAAAGGCTAGCGATGCTGACAGAGTTAGTTCATATAAACACCCAATGAAATTTGTACTTGATGAGCTGTTTATTTTTAATGCAGCTATGACTTAATAGTAGTAAAAATCTCAACATTTAAGGTCGTTGGTGTACACTCTGCTGTGGCGAGACTGCTTGGCTTGATTCCTTTTCTTGAATCAAATGTTGACGGAGAGCTCAATGAAGATGATCTGGGTAGTGAACTTGTTGATATCCCTGCTTCGTCAAAGCTGCGGGTAGTAACAGGTAAGAATGCGTAAGAGCAGTTTTTCTCTGGTTACTCTGAAATTTTTTTGGTCTGCTATTTTGTCACTCAATGAAAGAACATTTGGAGTAATGAACTAATTCATCAGGATTCTAGAGCTAAAATTTCTTTTAGTGAAAGCACAAGAGATTCAGGGCAGTTATTAATTGACTTATCCATTATTTCTTAGGCATCACTGATCTAAATGATGATATGTGCCATGTTTTATCAATTTATTTTTTAAAATTCCGTAACGACACGGGGAAAAAATCCAGTTAAGGGTGGTAGGGAATCGTGAATATTTTCTTAGAAGTTGGAAATGAGAAGTGCCACAGTATGTGGGAATTGGAATCCTCATCTGTATAGGACTATAGAATTCTGTATAATGGCCGAGATCATCACTTTCACGTCAAAACTGATACGGTAATTTGTACATCAATATCTTCTTCTATTGTTCTAGCAATACTTATGCTGTAAATATTGTGAACTCAATGTGTTTATGGACGTCAAAATGTACCTAGGTTTCCTTACCTTTTCTTTTTTCTTGCCTTTTTAACCTTGAGAGCGATACTAGACTGTTACTTCCCAGTATGAGTCAAGCACATGGTTTGTCCGATGAACAGGTCAAGCATGTAACTTTTGGTGTTGAAGTAGTTTAAGAGGACCGTATCTACTTGGTTCACCTTTCTCCTTTTCGGTTTGTTGCATTTGTCAATCTGTTTGTTATTTTGTAGTGTCATTTTAGTAAATACTTATGCGGTACTGTTTCTTGTCTATGCAGGATTTCTCCTGCGAGAAGTCAAGGATTTCTGGCGAGTAGCCTTATTGATTGCTGTGCTGACTTATCCCTCTCCTATTGACTGCTCTGAAGATGGCATGTTCAAGCACTACGAATTAGACAAGAGAAAAGAGTTGTTCCAGGCAGTTGAGAATGCTATTGTCAAATTAGGTACGTCCAGAGGTCCTTTGCTTCCTTTGTCTTACAAAAGTTCATCCATTCGTTGTGGATTGCTCATAAAGGATTTATGCTCTGACCCCTCCCTGTGCCACTGGTATTTATGAGAAAAGACTCCCAGAGAAATTGAGTTTGCATGTGTACTTTCTGCATGAATTCAACTTTTATTAGAATTTCAGTGGAATCTTTAGGAAGAATAGTCTTGGGATTTGTTTCGAGCATTGTTCCGATATGCATTCCATTTGCATGATATGCAGGCCTGGATAAAATATGGGAAGAGAAGCCTCTAGTCACAGGAAAGGATATTATGAGTGTTCTGCAGCTCAAATCTGGAGGTCCATTGGTTAAGGAATGGGTAAGCCATACTTTTCTGCACCAATCTACTAAATCATGAAATTGAAGCTGACTTGTTATCTCTTTTTTCAGCAACAAAAGCTACTCGCGTGGCAGCTGGCAAACCCGGCTGGAACTGCGGATGAGTGCCTTGGATGGATGAGGCAAACTCATTTGAAGCGAATAAAAATGGAGTAAATTAATGGAAAGGTCTCAGCAAGTTATGGCATTTTTTTGTAGTTCAAACATGTTTCGCAAGGTCTGGAGCGCACCTACGGTTTGTCCAGAAATTTTTGGAAACTTTACAGCATACGGCATCAGAAGACTAGTTTCAAAATTACATTGACGTCTGGCCAGTTTAGGATGTAAATTCAAAAGCTGTTGGTGGTATATAGAAATTTCGACGACGAATATCCTCTTTTACATGATAGATAGGATGCATCTCTTATGGAAGTTAAATTTATGGTTAGATATTTCGTCGTGTTTGAATTATGTTATCGTGTCAGTATGAGAAATTGCTACCATTACTCGTGTTGACACTAGCCGCTGGTTTTTGGCTCTTGTGTGGGGGAGGTTTTTGGGTTTGGCCGCTGGATTTGTGGTGATCTATCGACCAAAGTCGACCTCAATTGACTGGAAAGAGGATTTATCACTGGGAAATAAAAGCGGCAACCCATCATCGCTGGTATTTACCTGTTATAGCTTGTGTCCTCAAACGGACAGCCGATCTATGAAAAAAGTTAATTACTAACTTAGCGTGATACCGGTGCATTTAACAATACACTAAATTTACTGCACATTCGATAATTTACCAAATATACTAGAAATTTACCGACATCGATTTTCTTAGGTAATTGTCATATGTACAACAGGAAACAGTTAAACTACCGTATTGCGAACATCTCTAACTTAAGGTAGTGCGATAATTATAGTAACATTTGCTAACTTAATCTGCTAGACGTACTAACCTTGCTTTTATAGTATCAAGAAGTTGGTTTTTTTGGGGGGCTAAGCACACCTCGAACGGTACCAAACATCAGACTCTCTCCTGACAGTCACAGTGCGGGTATTGCGAAAAAGAAAAAGCAGAGAAGCACCATGATGGGTAATTTCCTAGACCTGAGAGTATTGCTACGCAAGACAAAATCAGAAACAAACAGGCAGTAAGATTCACTAACAAAGCAAAGAAGGTTTATCAAGGGGGAAAAAAGCTCAGTGCTGATTAGATACCAAGTGCATCTCTCGCATACAAGACTCCAGAAAGTTAGAAGAATCTGCGAAGTTAGCAGTTATTCTATACAGAAAGAGACTAGAAAACTAAATCTGCACAGCCATCATACACTCGCACACTTTGTATCAAAAAATAACGAGCCGTAATGTGCACGGACCATGTCAGTCACTTTAACAGATAACAAAAACTCAAACTCATGGTACAATTTACAATGGGAAGGAAGCTTGTGACATTCTGGTTCAGACCTAATCAAGACATGTACACAGATGTATGAACTGAATCCGGCATAATTTAGCGATACCGTTGGGTTATTGCTCGAGACTTGGAGACTGGATTGGATAGCAAGCAGTAAAGGCAATCTGCTATGAACCAAATACCAATCAACACCCTGGAAGGGACTGAGCGGACGCAAAAGGTGAGAAACTTGCAGCTGATTCACTGTGGTGTAACGGGTGATGATGGTGACTAGAACTGACAAAACTTGCAGAAGCATTGCTCGGGCTTGGAATGTAATGTGAGATGTATCTTGAATTGACAGGTGATATAGGGGGATAACCCAGCGAGTGGGGAGAGGGAGAGACCAAGTAGGATCCTTGAGACCGGTGAGACGATGCATTCCTGAGGTCAACAGAGCTATGGCTAATGCTCAGGGGAGAAGATTGTCTATAGGACCTAAGAGAATGCTGCAAATAAGTGCTCGAGAGAGATGGAGTACGAGAAGCGGATGGAGGACGTGACGCTCTAGCTATTTGGATGGCTGACGATGATGCCACTGATGATCTAGCAGAAGACAAAGCAGAGGAGGAAGCCACAGAAGCAGGGCTCGATGAAAGCAATGGCGTGCTCTCAGATGCTGGGGGTTCGCCTGTGCTAGTTCTTGCATCACGCTTGCAAACTGGGCAGAAAGTTCTCCACGATGTAAGCCATGAGTCGACACATAATGCATGAAACTCTGTCCACAATTGAAGATAACCGTATGAGATTGTGTGAGTGAATATATCGGTATAGATTCGGTAACAGCTCAATCTAAATAAAGAGAGGCCTGAAAAAGACAGCTTAAATTGATATGAAGTTATTGAGCAGCAATGCAGCATCTGAAGGACTATAAGAATAGTACCAAATAGAAACTCCCTAAGTTCTATAAGTACCGTGCAGAGACAGGAAACTGAGAATGAGAATCATAGAGAGAAAAATCTTATGTGCCACTCATGTGAACTAAAGATATCGCTGTTGAAACAAACGCAATAAGATTTCTAAGCACACTAGAAATGGGGGCTAAACTATAGCCCAAAGAAAAGACACATCATCCACATTCTCTCTTTGCTAGGATTAACCAAATTGACAACCTTTCAGAGCCCTTTGCCATGACCAGCAAACTGGAGGAAGAGACAGAGACTATGTCTTTTTCTGCACGTTCCAGAACCAGGCCATCCATTACTAAAGTGTAAGCATTACACAGAAAAAAATTTCAGGTAAAGATCATGCAACTGATGTCCAAAAATTTACTACTGTCGAGCTTGAAATTGAAAGTGCTCATGATGCTTGCTAGAGAACTAAGATAATTCGCAATGGTCAGCTGACATAAAACTTGATTGACTATCATATCGGCAAGGAAACACCTACTGTGACGACACGGCAAAATCCTGAGCTTCTCTCCGACATTGTAGTCTTCAAGGCATATGGCACATGCCCTAGATGTGCAGTTATCCTCTAAAACAGCAGTAAATATGAGACTCGGCATTGCTTTCACTAAGCGACTGCTCATTCCATGGAACTCCCTAACACGAGGAGCTCGAGGCCTTTCTCGTCTTATGCGATGCCTACGGACGAAGAAGCACGTGGCAAGAACTGCTGACATGGCAAGAAGGGAAATAAATGAAATAGCCATGATTGACCAAGCTGAGTCTTCGAAGCTTGGAAGTATCCATAGGTCCACATTAGTTGAACCAGCATAGTTTTGAAGTAATTCCCCCGAAACTTTAGAAACGAACACAGCATGGATTTTTATCCCAGCTGAGTTTCCAGCCACTGCGTGTAGCAGGCCAACTTACATTAGAGATGCACCTCAACAGTGAACCATATTCAACACTAGAAAAAAACAAAGGAATGTGAATATTTGATGACATCAAAGCACACTTTTGGAGAAAATAGAACACGGGGCATAAATCACTCACAGGCAAAGGTGTCAATGGCATCAAATTTAATTGTCATGATTAGACAGCATATTTAATATCCAAATAAATTATCCACACAACTTCAGACCTTGACTGGGGTTGCTCTTGATGCTCGGCATGGTTCACATTGAAATACTAAATCTCCCAAATCAGCTCTACTGAAAGGATCACAAACTGAATAACCCAGCACATCAACCAATCAATTCCATCCAACTAGTTTCCACCTAGGCTAGGTGAACATCGCTAGGTGCCCTAGCATAGAAACAACACGCCATATTCACCAACACAACCTAAAGACCCTAAAAAGATAGTTTGAGGGTTTAGAATCTTTGGTTGCATCTGTCTTCTACTCTTTTTTTCGGCTTTGGACATCTTGCTTTGACTTCTCATAGTCTTTTGATGAATTCCTTCATTTTTTGTCTTTTCTTTCCTTCTTTCTTTCCTTGTACATTTCTGACGTCCTCGAATTTCTTACTCTAATAAAATCCCCCACTGCCTGTCAAATTAAAAAAAAAACAGCGCAAGACAACTTTCCTCCAAGTATACGACATGCCAACATTAAGCAAGCAGCAGGGAGTCAAAAAGTCGCATCCTAAGTGATGTCTCAACTTAAGTTTTTAAATGGTAGAAAATATGATATCTACAATAATCAGTTTCCTGCAGGAGTAATACAAATCTGTCTATCGAGCTAAACCTAACAAACTCTATTAGGGCGAATTCCGCTTGTTGTAATCAGGTATATTTCTTACTAACATGATAGTTATACCATTATCACTAGTTATCCATCCATCTCAATAAAGCTGGCCCATGGCGCTAGTAGTGGAGAGAATGGAAAGGGCATGAAATCCTACTTCCTCTTCTCAATTTTCAACAGTTTATTTTAATCCCAGGATCCCTGTTGGGTTTAGACAGAGTCATTATAGGACCTCTGGTTAGGATCAATCCTATTGCACTCATTCTACCAAAGCAAGTCCAGAACCAATTACACACGATTTCATACCCTACTCAGGTTGCTTTAGATGTCTGGCATCATTCCAGTTTGCTTTGGAAAACTATATTTCCCAAATCAGCCCTACTGGAAGTATAACAAACAGAACTAAACAACACATCAACCAATCACTTTTGTCCAACTAGTTTCCACCTAGGCTAGGTGAAAACCTGGGTGACCTAGCATAGAGACTACAAGCCTTAAGCACCAACACTGCCTACAAATCAGAGCAAGACAACTTTTCTCCAAGCATATGATTTGCCACATCAACAAGCAGCAAGGAGCCAAAACGAACTTTTTGAATGGTAGAAAATTCGATATCAAACTGCGATCCTTAGATTAATATTAAAGTCATATTTATTTTTCGGCCAGGAGTCATCTCTATTTCAGTAAAAGGAATTTCTGTTACTCCTAAACCACACACAGAGTTTTCAAATATGAAACTGCAATTTGACTAGGCTAAAACAATCAGCGAGTGGAAATGTTATCTTACTCTCTATCCCAGCCACACATTTACCATTTTCTTCTAGGAGCAATTAAGGTTTTGTGTGTATTAAGTTATAACTTACACGACCAAAGAAATTGTATTAGAGAAAATTTCTGAGAGTTGTAACAGGCAATATTTCTCATTTACATGATAAAATGACTGGCAGCTTTGAATACATAGTAAAATAGTGCAATGCTACCTGCCTAGCAACTTGGCACAATTATCTTAAAATTATCGATTAGTCATCCATCCATCACCAATAAAAGTTGTCCCGAGGAGCTACCAGTAGGTACAAAATGAAAGGGCGTGAAATCCCCTTTCCTATTCCAGATTCTGAACAGGTTGTGTCATTTCAGGATTGATATTGGGTTTAGGCGGAGTCATTTATGAACTACCTCTGGCTAGGAAGCCAGAAGAAAGTTCATACAGCTTACCAAGTAACCATGTCGGGAACACATGTTTCTCTCAGTTAAGTCCAGATCAAACCTGACCAAGTAAACTACTTAAGTCTACGCAAGAGCAAAATTTCTAGGTTTCTTGTCACATAAGGTACGAAAGAGGAGTCATTCAATGGTCAAGAAATAATAAATCAAAACCAAGGTAAAGGCTGCTTGACATCCTAAGCATCTAACTTGCAGTCACAGCTCACAGGTCTCTAGAAAGCATCACAAAGTCAGAGTGATAAACGATTAAGAATTATCCAAAAACTAGATATTTTTGTTTTTCCACTTCAGTTAATTAATCTAGTAGCAAGCTAATAAAATCAATCAGCGTAGAAAAGGTCACTACTTGGCACCAAGCTGCCCTCAGCTTTGTCGTCATAGACAATAGCTGCTTTGAATCCGGCCTTTTGAGCTCTCCTAACTTTATCTTCGAAAGTACATCCTCCCCTAACAATTAGGACAAAAGGGGAGCTGGCATTTCGAAACCGGGAGACCTCGTTCGCCAATCGAGAGCACGCATCAATCGGGTCCGCAAGATACAGCACGCCGCAGACCCCAGAACCTTTAACCGGCGGAGCTGAGATGACCCAGAAGGAAAAAAAACGTCAATCAAAGGAAAAAAAATTAAAAAAAAAACACACACACACACACACAAGCTCACCGAACCCAAGTAGCAAAACAAGATAGACATATACACAAATTACATAATCTCAGTCATTATCACAACTAAAGGCACATCCTTTCTGCAATATCACGGACGAAAAAACTCTTTCCGCTGGCGTATAGTTGCCGGGAAGAAACAGAGACAACGGAGTCCAGTGGCCAAACAAAGGACCAGACCAGCATTCACAAACGAAAGACAACAAATTTCTCACCTTTCCTCAGCAACCAAACGCGGGACCAACCGCAGAACACGGGCACGACAGCACAAAACCCGCCGGGCCAGAAAGGGACTCACCGAAGTTAGCTTCGACGGCGGCGAAGGACAGAGTGACGTCGCTGCCCATCAGGACCACGTTCGCCGACGCCGGGCGGCCGAATCCCAGCAGAGCCAGCCACAGGAGCACACCCAGCACGCTACGGCGGTAGGGAATCCCCATGGCCTTATCATCAAACCGGAGACGCCCCGGGGAAGAAGTGCAAATCCCGGAGCTGCGAAAAACCCTAGCTTTGCAGCAGGAGGAGGATGATGATGATGGGGAGTGGGAGGATGATCACATCAGCTTCCATGAGATTTGCTGAATGAATTCGACAGAGAGAGAGAGGGATTGAGAGCAAAATAAAAGGGGTAAAAATTGAATCTTTGCGATGCCCCTCTCTCTCTCTCTCTCTCTCTCTCTCTCTCTTTCTCTCTCTTTAATGCTTTCTAATTTGGAAAAAAGAAATAAAAATAATTCCCGAGACTGAAGACGACGCCAGCGTCTTTTCCTGGCGTGGGATGGGAAAGGAAATGATTTTAAAATTCGGAATGTTCTTTTTTTTTTTTATGGGTATGTTTTTTTTTTTTCTTTGGGTATTATGATAATGCAAATTTTGTCGTGGGATAAATTATAAATATTTTGAAAACCGTACCACCCCATCTAGAGAGTGCTGCTCAGCAGTTCGTTACTTTTTTTTTTTCGTTTTCGGAGGTATAAAATGATGAAATTATACATCTATTAAACAGCAATACACATGGTCTTTGATAATTTGAGAGATTATAACCGACGACACGAGTATAAAATGATGACGCAATTACTGAACGAAAGAAAATTAATATTTATGCATCCGGCTCTTCTGTATGTTCCAAGATCGACTCATGTAATAGTGCCCGATTCTTTTTTTATGCATGCGAATCGAAATTCCGAGAGCTGATTTCATTTTACGGGCAAAAACAAAAGACGGGGACTGTCGAAAACGGGCAATTACAGAACTGTTTTGTTTCCAATTCAATTAAATTTTGGGGAATGCAATCACATGATCGTGGCCACACTCATTAGTGCATAAGAGAATTGTGGCGGGGTGTTGATAAGATTGGATGAGTGGATGGATGATCATCCGGAATCCCACGCTGGCCGCGAAGTCGCTGTCCGATGGGCCTGTTGTCGTCCGACCATTCGTGGGTTCTCACCGAACGATTTAGGTTGGTTCATGATTGTCATTATTGTCATACGACAAGAACGTGGATGGAATTCCGACCTGCGTCCCATCCAGTGTCGGCTACTGGTTTTTAACCCGAAACCGCTCTCTCTGCACCGTCAGCACATGAAAAGACGCACACAAAACTGCATCGTGTTCACATGCTTGAGATTTGAATGAAGCCCCTTGTCATATTTACGTACCTGTAGAGGTAAGAACATTAAAGATAAGAACACCATAAGTATTATAATAATTCTTTCTATAATCGTTAGTGTCATCGGCGATTTTTCTCAATGAAAAATTCGACGCGGCATTAATTTATTGTTAATCGAGCCACGTGCCTCGTCGGAGGAATCCAACCAGCCGAATAGTGCGGAATCGACATCGTTGGCGATGTGCTCTTGCTCCAAATCGACGAATCGGGGCTAATTTGCGGGTTAAACTTCAGTTGAAACCTTAAATTGAGGTCGTCGGCTATTTTGTTCTTGCCCCAACTCACGGTCGGGGCTTCGATTTCAAAGACGAAGATTTGCTCGGGCTTGTACAATGTGTCGGATTCTCCGCTCGGAGCACTCTAGCGTTTGATTATGCGGGGCTTCGGATTCCTTGCCGTCGCGAACAACTCGTGACCACCATCCCAAGGCCGCGAAGAAGTTCGTCGCCTCTTTCGGCGCCGGTGACCCGCAAAAACCGACCTGGATCACCACCTTCTTCTTTCGAAAGGCTCGCCATTTCCGGCGGCTCTGATTTTTCCAGGGTGCGATGAGTATTCGACAATGGACAGCGAAGAATGCGAAGATAGATAGAGGCCGAATGGGATCAGCACGAGCGTTTGTTTCGATATGGTGTTGCAAAAGCTGAAGTTGTCTCATCCGAGGGTTTCAGAAACAATCACATGGAAAGTGCAGCAATGGATGCGAACACAGAGATTGAAGAAGTTGAGAGAGAGATAGTTATGCCACATCGGACAGACAATTTCCCATAAAAGCCACGTGGGACGAATTGTCGGAATCGGCACTGAAGTGAACCGTTTTTCTAACATTTAAACTCAATATAGAATATAGAAACCGGTGATGATAGAGTACAATCGAAAATACTTTTTCTAATTTGTTCCTTTTTTTCAAGTGTTAAAGACGAAATCTTCATACAATTTTCTCTTTATTTGTCTCCTGAAATGTAAATCCAATAATTTATACGCATCAGAGACGACAAATGATCGACCTAAAAGCTTATCGGTCAAATGCGCGCCATGTGACAAATATAGAGGCGAAGTGAAGTGCCACGTGAAGCGCTTCGTGACAAGCACTGAAATGAATATCCTCTTGGTGCCAACTTCAACCACATACAATAGATGAGACTCGTCTAATACGTTTCAACCGCAGTATTAGAGGTAATTATAATATGACATTAAGGTTGCGTTTGGCAATGTAAAGCGAAAGGCCTTTGGGGATCAAAAGGCTGCTAGCTCAAGACAAATGGTGTTTGACAAAATTTTTGTGAAATTTTTTGGGAGATGCAATTGCATTGCTGAAGGCTTCTAAAAACCTTTAGCCCAAAGCAGGTCCAGAGGCATTTTGGGTTTTCACTATTTCCGAAATGCTAATACATTTTTTTTCCAACTTTCGCCCTCACTAAACTTTCATAATTTCGAAAATATCCTTCTCTCATGCAACGTCGCTGGTGAAGGCTTAAAATGCCGGTGAGGCCAGATCTTGCTGCCGACGGCCTTGCCTAAGGTCCCACGACCTAGATAACAGTTACTCAGGGTTGTGCAACTTTTGGCTACCCTAGACTGCTTGTCAACCGTTGAGCCCTTCGCCGGTTTTTAGGTTCCAAAGTTGCTTCCTAATGCACTTTTAAATTACAATTTACCAAACGCTACTTACATTTCAAAAAACTCCTTTAACCTAAAATCTTTTGCAATTTATCAAAGACTTTCCTCAAAAGTCGAACCAAAAGCACTCAAATCCTTATAAGAGCGCAGAGGTAAATATGGTTGACTATATTTTGAATGTTGTTGCAGTGAAGATAGATAAAATAAGCTCACTTACAAACACCCAATTATTTTGCCAACTTGATTAAATTAGAGGAGCAAGAAGCGTAACCACAAATAGGAGGGAACACAATCGCCAAACTTCCGCAACGAATGGAAGTTGCTGTTGGGATAACCCCACCAGACGTCCACCATCTCCATCACATAGTGAATGGATGATTACAATCTACGAATAAAAATCATGTTCTAATGCTTTATTAGTCTCTTTTGATAAGAAAAACTGATTTTGTCTATTAATTTTGGTTGTCTGTAAAAGTAAATTAAGCATTAATCTCAGTCCACCATACTCCAGCTGCTGAGAAAAGCATCGGCATTTAGAGCAGATCGATTAAGCTTCGAGGTTACTCCAAATCTGCAGAGCGTTGACAACCTAGGTGATCAGTCCCTTTTTACGTAGCTGCCATTGTCGGTCGATCTAAAGTAGCAGAAATCACATGTTCCGAAACATTCTGGGCGTGACAACACATGGACATCTACTTGTCTAGACAAGCAATATCTCCCATTGGCTACTCGAAGATTTCGTTGAGTGACCTGAATGGTACGTTGAAAATGACAGGTCGCGAGGGAACCGTGGTACATACAAATGCAAGGACGTTTTTGAGTGAGCAAAGATGATCGATAGCTAATCGTTCTATAAGTCCTTAATTGATCGAATAGCTTCTTCGCGTAATTTGATAAGGATTTTTCTTAGGACCTACCAGATATATTCATTCCAATAACATAATTCATGGGAAGCAAAGTGGGCTATACTTCAGACCCATATTAACAATTCCCCTGAAGACCCATATTGCATGAGACAAAATTGTATGGACAGGAACTGAGTCGCGCCTCTTCACGGTTAATAGTGCATATAATAAATAGAGAATTGCCGATATCCAGAATACAAGAGCACAAGTATCATCGTCATTTCAGCCACCCCGTGAATTATGGAATAGAATTTGGCATGTGAACACAAAACCAGAAATTTTACATGGAGGTTATGTCATAATGCTCTTCCTACGAGACAAAATTCGTACAGAAGGAAGATATTACCTGACGATACATGCTCCCTGTGCAACCGAGAGGCCAAGGCAGTAGAGCACTTGTTCTTGCCCTGTCCATGGACTTCGCAGATGGAAGCCCCAGCTTTACTTGCTACTCTCTCTCCCTCCTTGAATCCATGAAGAGTGAAGTGGTTGTACTTGAGTCAGACAGTTCAGTTTTAGTGAACTTTGGTGAAGAGCGTAGATCGTCACCCTTGGGAAGTCCAGTGTGCTTATCATGGACGCCTGCCGAGTCTCGGGCCAATCTAAGCACCTTTCTTTACCCCATTGTTCAAGGGATTCTAAAAGAGGAGCGGATTGGCTTTGCAAGGCCATAGATTGAATCTACCTCCTTATTGGGTCGCTCATCCCCCACCTCCTTTGGATTATATACATGAAAATAGGAATCAACTCACAAGATGCGTCTTTTGACGTAACGACAACATTTATCGATGGAAGTTTCCATGCTAAGACATTCACTGCCTCCCTTTTCAGTATAAACGATTTTTTTTTTTTGCGATTTTGGCAAAAGAAAAGAAAAGCTAGTCAACCTTGTGCAAGCCTTAATGAAGCACTTTATATACTTCAGACTCAAGAGATGAAGTTCGATTTGCCCACATTAATTGACTTAAAAATCCACCAATTATGCAAATTCTATATCTACGTGTCAAGCAATCCTTCACATTTAGCTTTCCCGTACTTACTAGACTTTATTTATTCAATTTCAATTCGGTCACCCGGCTATGTTAGATGTTTCACGCTATTCTCTAATTGCGGTGCGTGTTCGTCGGCTAAGAAATTTCGTACTTGCCTTTCATCTAGCGACTATATTATCTAATCAATTTCCAATTTTGTGCACTCGGTGAAGATCATGATGACTATGATATGATAGTGCTTGCTATTGCTTATGAGATACACGAGCCACCATATCTTAGGTCCAGTTCCAGCCTGTTTTCCGCCTACCCATTATTTGAGTTCTAGTTCCCATTTTTTCTAAAGAGCCGATTTTTATGCCGAACTTTTTTGTCTAAAAAAAATTCAAAATTTTAAGTCCAATTCCAGTCTTGCCCGAACTTTATTTTATTTACAAAAAGCCTCCGGCTTTAAATCCAGTCCCAAATATTGAATTAACAGGTGATATAGGGGGATATCGTGACGATGCATTCCTGGGGTCAACCGAGCTACGGTTAATGCTCGGAGGAGGAGATTGTCCATAGGACCCAAGAGACTGCTGCAGATAAGTGCTCGAGAGAGATGTAGTGTGAGAAGCAGATGGAGGCCGTGACGCTCCGGCGGCTATTTGGATGGCTGACGATGATGCCTCCGATGATCTAGCAGAAGACAAAGCAGAGGAGGAAGCCGCAGACGCAGGGCTCGATGAGAGCAATGGCGTGCTCTCGGATGCTGGGGGTTCGCCCGTGCTAGTTCTTGCATCACGCTTGCAAACGGGGCAGAAAGTTCTCCACGATGAAAGCCACGAGTCGACACATGATGCATGAAACTCTGTCCACAGTCAATGATACCATATGAGATTGTGTGAGTGAATATATCATTCTAAATAAAGATAGGCATGAATAAGACAGCTTAAATTGATATAAAGTTATTGAGCAGCAATGCAGCATCTGAAGGACAATAAGAATAGTAGCGAATAGAAACTCCCTAAGTTCTCTGAGTACCGTGCAGAGACAGGAAAGTCAGAATGAGAATCATAGAGAGAAAAATCTTGTGTGCCACTCAAGCGAATTAAAGAAATTGCTGTTGAAACATACGCAATAGGACTCCTCCTAAGCACACCAGAAATCGAGCCAATATAATAGCCCAAAGAAAAGACACATCATCCACATTCTCTCTTTTCTAGGAGGTAGAGACAGAGACTATGTCTTTTTCTGCACGTTCGAGAACTGGAGCGAGGCATCCATTATTAAAGTCTAAGCAGAGAAAAAATTTCAGGTAAAAATCATGCAACTGATGCCCAAAAATTTACTACTGTCGAGCTTGAAATTGAAAGTGCTTGTGATGCTTGCTAGAGAACTAAGATAATTCCCAATGATCAGCAGACATAATACTCGATTGACAATCATATTGTCAAGGAAACACCTACTGTGACAACACGGCAAAATCCTGAGCTTCTCTCCAACAATGTAGTCTTCAAGGCATATGGCACATGTCCTCGATGTGCAGTTATCATCTGAAACAGCAGTAAATATGAGACTTGGCATTGCTTTCACTAAGCGACTGCTCATTCCATGGAAGACCCTCACACGAGGAGCTCGAGGCCTTTCTCGTCTTATGCGATGCCTACACAAGAAGAAGCACGCGGCAAGAACTGCTGACATGGCAAGAAAGGAAATAAAAGAAAGAGCCATGATCGACAAAGCTGAGTCTTCAGAGCTTGGAATTATCCATAGGTCCACATTAGTTGAACCAGCATAGTTTTGAAGTAATACTCCCGAAACTTCAGAAACGAACACGGCATGGATTTTTATCCCAGCTGAGTTTCCAGCCACTGCATGTAGCAGGCCAACTGACATTAGAAATGTACCTCAACAGTGAACCATATTCAACCCTAGAAAAAACAGAGGAATGTGAATATTTGATGACAAAAGCACAATTTTGGAGTAAATAGAACACAGGGCACAAAACACGAGCTACGAGAATCACTCACAGGCAAAGATGTAAATGGCATCAAATTTAATCGTCATGATTAGACAGCATATTTAATATCCAAATAAATTATCCACACGACTTCAGACCTCGACTGAGGTTGCTCTTGATTCCCGGCATGGTTCACATTGAAGTACTAAATCTCCCAAATAAGCTCTATCGAAATAATAACAAACTGAATAACCCAATACATCAACCAATCATTTTCACCCAACTAGTTTCCACCTAGGCTAGGTGAACATCGCCAGGTGCCCTAGCATAGAAACAACACCGCCATATTCACCAACACAACCTAAAAACCTTAAAAAGATTGTTTTGAGGGTTTAGAATCTTTGGTTGCATCTGTCTTGTACTCATTCATTCGGCTTTGGACATCTTGCTTTGACTTCTTATAGTCTTTTGATGTTTTCCTTTATTTTTTGCCTATTTTTTCCTTCTTTCTTTCCTTGTACATTTCTGATGTACTCCATTTCTTACTCTAATAAAATGACTGAGAGCTTTGGATACATAGTAAAATAGTGCAATGCTACCGGTCTAGCGACTTGGCACAATTATCTTAAAATTATTGTTTAGTCATCCATCCATCACCAATAAAAGTTGGCCTGAGGAGCTACCAGTAGGTACAAAATGAAAGGGCGTGAAATCCCCTTTCCTATGCCAGATTCTGAAAAGGTTGTGTTATTTCAGGATCCATATTGGGTTTAGGCTGAGTCATATATGAACTACCTCTGGCTTCCGAGTCAGACGAAATTCATACAACTGACCGAGTAACCATGCCAAGAACACATCTTTTTCCCAGTAAGTCTAGATCAAACCTGACCAAGTAAACTAATTGAATCACTGAAAAAAGATATCTATGCAGGAGCAAAATTTCTAGATTTCTAGTCATTTAAGGTACGAAAGAGGAGTCATTCAACGGTCAAGAAATAATAAATCAAAACCTCAGTATAAGCTGCTTGACATCCTAAGCATCTCACTTGCGGTCACAGGTCTCTAGAAAGCATCATAAAATCAGAGCGATAAACGATTAAGAATTATCTAGCAACTAAATATTTCTTCTTTTCCACTTGAGTTTATTAACGCAGTAGCAAGCTAATAAAATCAAAGGTCACTACTTGGCACCAAGCCGCCCTCAGCTTTGTTGTCATAGACAATAGCCGCTTTGAATCCGGCCTTTTGAGCTCTCCTAACTTTTTCTTCAAATCTACATCCTCCCCTAACAATTAGGGCGAAAGGGGAGCTCGCATTAGGCAACCGGGCGACCTCATTCGCCAATCGAGAGCACGCATCAACCGGGTCCGCAAGATACAGCACGCCGCAAACCCCAGAACCTTTAACCGGCGGAGCTGAGATGACCAAGAAGGAAAAAAATTGTCAATCAAAGGGGAAAAAAATATACAATCTCCCCTAACCCAAGTAGCAAAACAAAATTGACATACATACAAATTACATAATCTCAGTCATTATCACAACTAAAGGCGCATCCTTTTTGCAACACTATGGATGGAAAAACTCTTTCCGCTGGTATATTGTTGCTGAGAAGAAACAGAGGCAACGGAGTCTAATGCCAAACAAAGGACTAAACCGACAACCATAAATGAAAGAAACGAATTTCTCAACTGTCTTCAGCTATCAAACGCAGAACCAACTGCAGAACACGGGCACGACAACACAAAACCCGCCGGGCTAGAAAAGGACTCACCGAAATTAGCTTCAAGGGCGGCGAAGGACAGAGTGACGTTGTTGCCGATCAGAACCACGTTCGCCGACGTGGTGCGGCTGAATTCCAGCAAAGCGAGCCACAGGAGCACACCCAGCACGCTCGCGCGGTTCAAGATATCCATGTGACCCGAGAAGGGGGGAAATCCCGGAAGCTGCAAAACCCTAATTTTCCAGGAGGAGGCAGGCGGAGCGGATGGGGAGTGGCATAATCACATCAGCTTCCATTCGAGAGAAGGGAAAAATTGAAACTTTCGATTCTCTCTCTCTCACTCTCTAATGCTTTCCAAATTTGGAAAAAACAAAGAACAATGTCCAGTGGTTGAAGACGCCAGCGTCATTTCCTGGCATGGGATGGAGAGGAAAGGATGCTTTTCTTGCAATACGGAAAAAGGGATTTTATTTCTATTTTGTGGTTATGATAATGCAAATTTCATTGTAGGGGTGAATATAAGGAATAATGAGATGAATAATCTCTAAATTTTGATCTAATATGCAATATGATCCATAAATTTTTAATTTGTTAATGTGGTCCTTGAACTTCAGGAACTAAATTGAACATACACCAAAATTTTAACGATCATATTGAATAAATTAAAAGTTCAGGGATCATATTGTATATTGAGTCAAAGTTCAGAGATTATTTATATCATTATCTCTAAATATAAATATTTGAAAATCCTACCATCTGGAGAGCGCTTAGCAGTACTTAATGAGGAGGTGCTTTTTGGCTTTTGTCCTCCATCCATCCCTAAAATTATACATATTAAACAGTAATAAACATAATCTGTGAAACCGATAACCCGCATATAAAATATGGTGCACTTACCAAATAAATAAGATCAAAATTTACGCATTCGAATCTTTGTTCCGTTTCGAAATCGACCCATTTAATAACTCATCGATTCGAATGACGGTAGTTGAAAACGGCCATTTATAGAACTTTATGCGGTGGCAAGATTAATCCCGAGGGTATGCTTTGAATCTAATTTTTTTTGGACTAATCTAATACTAATTTATGCATAAGAGTGTGTTGATAAGCTTTGATGAGTGTGTGATTATCCAGTTCCGTTTGTGATTGGCGTCGGACCATTTGTGGGTTCTCATCGGATATAATTTAATTCTTATCATTATCCTAGTTAAATACGGAGACAATACGAAATTACATCATTTCATTTGTTTCGCGAAATACGAATGATTTGAAAAACATTTTCTTAAAAAAGGTCGCTTATATCGACTTGTACAAAAATGAAGAAACGAAAAAAAATTTCATCATCTATTAAAATGTTTGGACATAAATTATTGTTGATAATAAAAATATTTTTTATTAACCAATTATTTCAAAAAATATACGTGATCAGTTTTAGGAAAATATTTTCCAAATCATTCATTTTCTTCAAAACAAACGGAGCCTAGATTTAAATTGAAGCCCCTTATCGTATTTATCTACTTTTTGTATGATCCATAATGAGATCTTCTCATACTAATATCTTTGAGTATTGGCAAACTGAGGGAGAAATTTGAGAAATGGAATGCTCGGAGGAGCGACTTCAGGATAGTGAATGAACATTGAATTGTATGAAATTCACATCATCATTCGAATGATCGATTTTATTTTTGGGGATATAATTCTCGGGGCCGTTACTTAATAACTCGACAATAAAAGGCAATAGCACCGAGTTACTAATTCATGTCGAGAAAACGACAACCCCGTTGAATTCCACCTTCATCGACATGAGATTGCATCTTAAAATCAAATCTCTAACTACCATACGTTGTTCTTAGACAGGGCCGTATCTGGATTTATCCAAGACGAGCAAAATTATTTAATATGGCATGCTCCTTTCTAACCGATTTATATAAAGTAGAGATGTCGGCTACATTCGGCAAATCCATAAAAGCCTTTGGCAAAATGCCGAGGTGTTTGGCAATGAAAATGCAAAGACCTTTGAAGCAAAGCTAGTATTTCCAAATGCTCTTTTCCCAATGCAAGTCCTACCCACCATTGGCATTTGCCTTTTTCCAGAATGTTGCTTACTAAATGACTTTTTTTTCTCTTCTAATTTTGCCATCGCTAAGCTATATAAAATTCTAGTTTTACCCTCACTACCTTTCTTGTGCAGATCTGACTAGCATCGCGCTTCCACTGCTTGCGAGCTCGTATCTGAACGCCGACAGCCCCGTCATGGTGCAATTGCATATAAACCCGAAGACTGAACCAAGTTATACTAGGCCCCGCGATGTAATATTTATACGCAAGTAACCATTTTAGAATTTACAAACATTAGTTTGTTTTCTTTTCATTGTTATCGTTTATCTCTTCTTCATTAAGAGAGTAAAGGGAAGTAAAAACGAAAATTAAGATTTCATGAACAGGTTGAAGGCAAAACATATATGATCTATCATACTGAAAAAAAATAGGCATATGACCTCCAATGATCTTTTAGCCTCTATGAGTCCAATCTTTTTGGACTCTTCGGAGCAAGCCCTGCCACTTAACCCAATTTCATCGAAAACTAGTTACTTGGTTTCTCGTTTTGCTCGAATAAAGATAAGCAATATATAATTATCTATGTTTTAACTTAATTGCAATGTAATTTTTCTTTGTTTGAATATTTTATTGCGAGTTTGAAATAAATATTAATATTTGTAATACTAAAGTAGCGGGAGTTATTTGATATGGATAAATGTTAATATGATTTAGCTCATCGAACTGACCAATATCGCCGTTCATATTTAATTGTTCTATCATATATATACACATGTCCCAATTTTATTGGACAATTACGCTTGCCAATAAGAATCGTTGATCATTGAAATATTTACGTGAAATTTTATATCCGGCTTAAAATTTTGCTGTTTATAAAAACATTTAAGAAACTTTTTTGACGATAAGTAATGTTAGCGAAGCTAAATTTATCCTTTTTTTAAGTTTAAACTGAATAAGACATCCAATCTTGATAAAAATTTTCTCATCCATTTTCTAACATTTCAAAATAAATAGAATATAGAAATCGGGAGATGATAAAGCATAATCGGAAATACTTTCTTCAATTTGTCCTTTTCTCAAGTTTAAACTCAAGAAGAAATATAATTTTCGTGTCATTTCTCATTATTAATTTTTTCGAAATTAAAATCAAACGAGATAGGAACTTGGCATAGAGCAAATCATTAAGTTAACTTAAGAGGCTATTGGTCAAATATGCGCCACGACCCAAAATTGTCCCACATGTCATGCCGCGTACCAGACAGGGAGGCAAACTTGAGTGCTTCATGGCGAGTACTGTAGCAAACATTCATTCTCTCGACTGTGACTTTAGACGAGCCTCGTCTAGGACATTTCGGCAGCACTATTCGAGGCAATTATTATCTGTTGACTATAATTTGATTATTGCTGTAGCGAAAATAGATACTCAGAAATACCCAGTATTTTGCCAACTTGATTGAATTAGAGAAGCAAGAAAGTTAACCACAAATCGAAGGGAAGACAATCGTCAAACCTCAAACAATGGAAGTTGCTGTTGAGATAATCTAGTATATTCTACCGAGAGTGGAATTCAATTTACGATTTCGTTTATTTCGCGAAAAATAAATGATATAAGAACCATTTTTTTGAAAAATGATCGCTTGAAATAATTATTTAATGAAAAATATTTACATCATCGATAAGAGTTGGTGTCTAAATATTTTCAAGGACGATAATTTTATTTTTCGTTCATTCGTTTATGCAAGTGATTCAAGCGATTACTTTTTTGAAATTTTTTTTTCAGATCATTCAATTTTACATTTTTCGCGAAACAAATGCATCCTGCGAATAAAAATTATGATATACCAGTTTTAATTCGATAATGAATTGTGTAAAAAGCTAATTAATACAATTAATTCCAATGAGTAAAGTCATAGTTTATTTTCATTTCATAGTTGGTCCCTCAAGCACCCAGCTCCTGTCCCCGTCCACCATACTCTCGCTGCTGAGAAAAGGCATCAGCATTTAGAGCTAATCAATTAAGCTTCAAGATACCGACCAAAAAAAAAAATTCAGCTTCAAGATTACTCCAATTTGCATAGCATTAATAAGGGAAACACCGGAAAATATTATTTTTTTTTTGGAAGATGACTTTCCTGGGAAATGACTTTCCGGAAAATATTTTCTAAAAATGTCAAATTTTTCACAAAACAAACGGAGCTTAAGCTAACTTAGAAATACCCAACATTTTACCAACTTGATTGAAATTAGAGAAGCAAGAAACCTAACCACAAATCGAAGGAAAGACAATCATCAAACTTCTACCAATGGAAGTTGCTGTTTTTCCTTTCTTTTTGCGGGATGGCTGTCCTTGCCGCTTAGTGCACTCTTGGTGCTTCTCCCTTAATCGCAACACCTTTGCACCTGTCGGGACATCTTTTGTCTTCTCAGGTTCGAGGTTTTTGTATTCGGCTACTCCCTTGTAATTTGTGTGTTGAAAAGTCAATATAATACTTACCTTACAAAAAAAAAAATTGCTGTTGAGATAATCTAGTAAACTCCACCATCACTATTACATAGTGAACGGTTTCGTTTGTTTTGCAAAAAATAAATGATTTAGAAAATGATCACTTGAGATAACTATTTAATGAAAAATATTTCCATTATCGATAATAGCTGATGTCTAAACATTTCACAGACGATAAAAATATTTTTCGTTCATTCATTTTTGTAAATGATTCAAGTGATCATTTTTTGGAAAATCTTTTTCAAATCATTCGATTTCATATTCTCTGCGAAACAAATGCATCCTATGAATCAAAAACTATGTTATATTAGTTTATTTTGATAATTAATTGTCCACAAAAGCTAATTGATACATTTAATTCCAATGAATAAAGTCATAGTTTATATTCAAAGTTGGTCCCCCCAAGCACCCGGCTCCCGTCCCCGTCCTCCGTACTCCACCTGCTGAGAAAACGCATCAGCATTTAGAGCTAATCAATTAAGCTTTAAGGTTACTCTAAATCTGCAGAGCATTAATCAGGTGATTAGTCCATTATTACCATGCTGCCATTGTCGGTCGATCTAAGGAAGCAGAAATCAAATGTTCCAAAACATTCTGGGCGTGACAACATGTGTACATCTACTTCTCTAGACAAGCAATATCTCCCATTGGCTACTCCGAAATTTCATTAAGTGACTTGAATGGTACGTTAAAAATGACACATTGTGAGCGAACGTCCTACCTACATATGCAAGGCCATTTTCAAGTGATGAAGGCGATCGATAGCTACTCATTCTATATTCAGTAAATTGA